GGGGGGGGGATCCATGTCATTGCCACCATGCCGGCTGCTTTCCTGGTGCAGCCCGTGCAGCCCGCCGGTTGCAGCGTGTGTCGCAGGGAAGGGGGAAACGGGCAAGATGCTCGCCGCGTGAGTCATGCCGCAGACTTGTGCCGTGCGTTAGGGGGCGGGGGAGCCCCTTCGGGACCCCTTCGGGACCCCTTTGGGATCCCTGTGGGACCCCTTTGGGGCGCCGGCGAGTAGACACCGGGGGCCGCGTGCGCCGCGTGCCGGGCGGACACTGCGCGCGGAAGCTGGAGCTGACTCCTCGCGTTGTGCTTCCGAAATAAAAATTTTTGCCGAGCTTTTGTGAAGCCCGAGCCGAAATACCGCGACCCACGCACGCTGGCGACGCTGGCGCCACTCTGCTTCCGCGACGCGCCGCCCGAGCTCGTCCTTGCCAAGGCAGCCGATGCAGCGGACGGCCAGACAGACGGCCAGACAGACGGCCAGACAGACGGACGGACGGTGGACGTCCTTCCCCGCAGAGCCAGTCCGCTCGTTTGGCGCCATAGGGCACCGCCTGGACGGCCTGGACGCTCGGCTGGATGGCTTAAACAACACTCCCGGCGCAGCCGTGTCGTCTTTTGTTTTCTTTTCCCCGTCTCCTCGGTGTCGTCCCTCTTGTCGGCCTCGCGGTCCTCGCGGCTTAAGTGGCCGTTGCCGTTGAGTTATGTGGGAGCGATGAATGGGGCCGGCCGGCCGGCGGTGCGGTCCTGGACCGAGTCCTGGACGGGTTGGCGGCGACCTGGCCGGCGTGCCGCGCCGCGCCGCCCAGGCGCCCTCGGCTAAGCGGCTTTGCTGTGACAGGGCCCGACCGCCACCTCGCCGACTGCGGGTGTCGCCGTATTTATCTGCCGGAGGTTGGCACTATTCGCACGACGGAGCGGGCTGCACGCTGGGCGGGCCTCGGGGGAGCAGTGGAACTGCCTGGGAGTCTGGGAGGCGACCCGCGACGTCGTCCGGCAGACTGACCCCGAGAGGCGCTTTTCTGTCTCTCTCGGACACACAGGGCGTCGTGTATGGGTGCGAGGGAGACGGGGACACTCGGAATGAGTCTGCTGGAGTCGAGTGAGTCACGCGGTGGGACGGCGACGCGGCGACGCGGCCTCAGGCTGGACACTGGCCCGTCAATCCGTCAACCGGACGGACGACGTTGACGTTTTTTTGCCGCCCGTTCCGCTAAAACCGTTTCAGTGTCTGTGGACGCGTCTCGTCCTTTTGGTTTCGGCCGCCCGATGGCGCTGGCGGGCGCGGCGGAGCGGCGAACTGGATGGCTCCACCACGTGCCTTTATCATTATTATTGCAAAGTCCCCCCTCCCCCCCCCATGCGACTGGGCCGCGTCGTTTTTATGAAGTCGGCCCGTCGTCGTGCCTTGGTGCCCCGCCACGGCCTGCCCCGGCCTCTTGAACTTTTCGGTGCCCGCATCGTCTTGGGAGGCCTGTGCTGGGCTGGGCTGGGCCGGGCCGGGCTGGCCTGGTGGCCACGTTGTGGAATTGGCATTAGTTAAAAGGAACGGCACGACGACGGCGATGTGACGACCGCGCCGAGGCCGAGCACCGGCACCGGGCCCGCGGGTGACCGTACCGGACCGCAGACATGCAGCCCCCGCCCCACTCCGCCCCGCACCGGGCAGCGCAGCCTGCGCACCGTGCCGGGAGGAATAGAAATAGACAGTGAAATTCCTTACCTTCGCCCCCTCCCCTCCCCTCCCCTCCCCTCCGCCCCCTTCCCTCTGGCGCGCTGCGCTCTGCAGCCAGGCTTGCGGTGCTCGCGGCCGGCTCGGCTTGCTCGGGGATGTGACAGTTTGCCGCACGTTTTGGACAAATGGTTCAGTAACGAAGGCGTTTCCTCTCGATCCGCAGCGCGAGCGGCTTATGCAAAAGGTATCGATGGCGCGGCGGCCACTTAAGAAAGGAACCGGGTAGCAGAAAAAAAAAAATAGTCCCGGTCTAGTGTTGCCTGTCGAGATGCGCCTCGCTCGCCCATTTTGTCATTCGGCCGTGCGGGCGCACAGTGGGCCAGAAGCCGTTGGAGGCGGCCAAAACTCTAGACGCGTTTTGACCTCCAGAGTCGCTAAAGGGGACTCGAACCGGACGTGTGACCCCACCAATGGATTGCTCTCCGAACGAGGAATCCATTGGTGGGGTCACACGTTCGGTTCGAGTCCCATGTAGCGACTCTGGAGCTCAAAACGCGTCTAGAGTTTTGGCCGCCTCCACCGGTCTTCTGGCCCACTGTGGGGCGTGCGTGCGTGCGTCGGTGTGTTGTAACCATTTGTCCGCGAGGGCGCTGCCGCCACGAAAGGACTCGGCTGTGCGTTGTTGTGGCTGCGAGTTGTTGTGCTCCGCGTTTTGCGGCCGAGGCGGGTCCGCCTGGTCAGGTCGTCGCGGTCGTCGTCGTCGTCTCGCGGTTGAAGGGAAAGCCCCTCTTGTGAGCTGGCTCGGCCCGCGCCGTGGCGCCGCGCCTCGCGACGGACAACGGGCGTGCATGGGATAGGCCCGGGTGCGGGTGCCACAAGCCGAGCCTGCCTGCCTGCCGCCTGCTGCCAAGCGCCGCTAAGTGAAAAGGGGAAGGGGAAAAAAGCGTAAAGGGACAGACGGGGATGAAAAAGCGCCGACTTTTGAACCTGGCTCCCGCACGCTACCGCAGGTGCTGCCGGGCTAGGCTGGGCTGGGCAGGCAGTCGGCTTGCTTTGGGGGGAGGGGGGATATGTGTCTGCACGCGCGTCCGTGTGCGTGCGGCACAAGGCCTGGACGAAAAGGAGACAAGTTAATTCAGTCTGTCCTGCGTTGAGACACTCTGTGAAGCCCGTGCCCGTGCCAGCTTCCTGGGTACCGCGTCGCTGGGTGGCTGGCTGCAGGCTGGCTGCTGTCCGGACAGGGCCGGCCTGGAAAGTAGGACGGCGCAGCGGCGCGGCCCGGTGATTTTCCTGCCGAGGAAATCAAACAAGTGCTGCGGGATAGGATAGGATCAAGACTCGGTGCCGGCCACAGGCCGCACCTTGTCCCGCCGCCAGCGGTTCCCCCCTCCCCCCCCTTTTCCTCTCCCTCAACACGACGGAAACAAATGATGCTATCTGTTCCGTCTGCGTCTCTCTCGCACACTGCGTCGTCTTGCTACATCTGAGTGCGGCTGCCTCACCTCAACGTCGCCCATATATCCCCCCGCGCGCGCGTTTGTGTATGCGTGCGTGCGTGTGTGTGTGTGTGCGTGTGTGTGCGTGTGTGTGTAAATGCACTCGCTTCAGCGCCTTCTCACCTCACGGGACACAAGAAGTGTTTGCAGAGAGGGCACTTTTGTGTGTGTGTTTGCGTGCATGCCAAACTTAGCACGAAAGCAAGGCTCGGTCCTTGATGCCCTCGCCAGTCTGTTTGCCCGTGGTTTGCGATAATTTCCCTCGCCTTGGGCTGCTGAGGGTCCGCGAGTGGTGGCGGTGGCGCCTCGGCGGGGGACCGCGGGGGGCGTCTGTCGACGTCGCCGACGTGCTGGGCGTCGCCCGGGCGGCTCCGGCTGTGCGCTGTGCGGCGCCGCCACCGCGCCGCCACCGCGCCGCCACCGCGGAAGTCCAAGTCGCGACTTGGCGGCGCGGAGTGCCTCTCTGAAATGCCTCGGCGTGGCGTGGCGGGGCGGGGCGGGAGAGGAGCTGTCGCGACGCCCCTTGCGAAATGCAAACAATGTCGCGCCGAGAGAACCGAGCCGAGAGGGCCGCGAGCCGAGTCGCGGAAGAAGGTCGTTGGCTGGCCGGCCTGCACCGGGCATGACGCGCACATGCCGAAAAAAGAGGAGCCGCAATGAAAGGAGTGCTTTTTTAGGCGCCCGAGTTGACCCTGTTAGCGAGACGGCCTGGCCCCGGGGACAACGGGACGGGACGGGACGGCCGCGGCGTGGAGGCGGCAAGGCGGCCCTGGCAATCGCCTGGCAAGGGAGCGCCTAGGCAATGGGCAAGCCCGGCGCACCCGCCTGTTCGACGGGACGGCCTGCCTCCACGGCGGCCCCCTTGCCCGCACGGCTTGGCTTCGGCGAGGCCTTTGTTTCGGCCTCAAGGGCGGTCGCGGCCGCCGCTTCGGCCGCCGCTTCGGCAGCGAGCGCGACGGCCAAGTCCAAGTTCAGCTCAGACCCGGCACAGCCCAGCGCAGGCGGAGCGCATCGTGCGTGCCGACTGCCGACAGACGCGCGAATCCGAAATGTGTTGCTCTCTGCCCGTCGGACTCCATCCGTCAGCCGAGCGACGATTCCGAGGATGCGGCTCTGTCTCTCTCGCACTCCCTGCGGGACGGCCCGTGAGTGCGACAGAGACGGGCCGCTGCACTTTGGCGCGGTGCTTGGTGCCTTCCGGTGCTGTGGCGTGACAGGCTTCTTCACAGTGGCGGTGCGAGAGACGCTCTCCACGCCCGGCCAGCACGGCCCGCCCGGCCCGCCGTGATGTGCGGTCGTTCCCTCTGCCGACATTGTAAAACCGACCGGCAGCACTTCAAAACCGACGAGGAATGTCCCGAACGCGTTTCTCTCTCTTCTTCTTTTTGACACTTCGAATGGGGGGAGTCTCGCCGCGCCTCTCGGCTGGCGTTGCTCTGCGTTGCACTCCACGGAAACGTGCGTTTTACAGCCAGAGAGGGATATTTTCGTCTCGGCTTGACTTTGGAATTCAGGCTTACGCCTTCCATCGCCTGTATGGATATTCTTCCGAGGCAATTGACATGGTTCTCTTTAGTGTGGGTGTGTCGCGCGGCGGCTGCGCCTTCTTCGCGACCTTTCACGACAACGTGCCCCCACTGTGAAAAAAATTGTGGTAGCTTGCCGCACTTTTTGATGAGTAAAATGCACCATTGTGGATGGCCGGATAACCCCCGTTTTCATTTTTTTTCAGTGCCTCGCTGAAGGTCTGCTGAGGCCTGAAAAGCGCCCATGGCGGTGATGACAAGGACGATGAGAGAGTGAATCTAACGGTGGGGGATGCCTGTGTTCCAGGGGGAAGTTCGCCGCAGTACGAAAGTGCACCCACCGCCTGACCAACGTGGACTACGCCGCCAAGTTCATCCGCAAGCGGCGGCGCTCCATGGACCAGCGCCAGGAGATCCTCCACGAGGTGGCGGTGCTTCGCCTGGCCGAGCGCGCCCAGTCCGCGCAGTCCGCGCGCATCGTGCGCCTGCACGAGGTGTACGAGACGCCGCAGGAGATCGCCATCGTCCTCGAGCTGTGAGTCCACAGCAAACGTGCCGCACTTAGGCTTTCAGTTCCCGGGATGGAAAATAGAAAAAAAAATTGAATTCTGTTGGAGTTTGTTTTTCTGATTGGTTTTGTCTGGTCCGCGCTGCAGGGCCGCTGGCGGCGAGCTCCAGCGCGTCGTGGATCTCCAAGACGGACTGCCGGAGGTGGAGGCGGTGCAGGTGATGCGCCAGATCCTGGAAGGCCTCATATTTCTGCACGACCACAACATTGCACACCTGGACTTAAAGGTGTGTTGCGTCGAGTGTATCTCCAAAGTGATCCTGTTGGTGAAATGTCACAGAGGCGCTAATGACTTGAATTTGTTTTTGTTGACAGCCACAAAACATGCTTCTCACCGGCAATTACCCAGACTGTGACATCAAACTGTGCGACTTTGGTATATCCAGAGTAATCCGCAGTGGCATCGAAGTGAGAGAAATTCTTGGAACACCAGATTATGTTGGTAGGTTAAATTAAATTTTACATTTTTCAAAAATATATTTTATTGTCTTATATTAACCACACTCTGCCTTTTTTGCCTCTACAGCTCCAGAAGTCCTTAGCTACGAACCTATCAGCCTAGCCACAGATATTTGGTCTGTTGGTGTATTAGCCTATGTGCTCCTAAGTGGTTATTCTCCTTTTGCCGGTGATACAAAACAGGAAACTTTCTGCAATATTTCCCAGTGCACATTAAATTTCCCTGACGAACTGTTTGAAGGAGTATCTGAGGCTGCCAGAGACTTTATCCGTACTACACTGCAAACAGATCCAGGGTACGTAGTTTCAATAATTCAGCATTAATTCGCTAAAGTTCTTCTAAGACTATCTAAATTTATAATGATTTTGTTTTTTTTCTGTTTGTTTCTAGGTGTCGTTTATCAGCTCGACAGTGCCTAGAACACCCCTGGCTTAGCTTCAAAACACCTTTTCTCATCGATTCCCTCACATCGACTGTCCTGAACAGTTGTATCGAGTCGGGTGTATTCAGCAAAGATGTCAGTGAAGAGCGAGAGCAAGGGGAAAGTCAGGTTGACAACTCGGTGTCAAGTATGGAAACAAGCAGCAGTAGTTGCAGTGTGAGCCCCAGCCCCAGCCCATCACCCATTAGCAGCTTATCATATTCAAGGTGAGTCTCTGTTCCGTTTCGTTTTGTTGTTTGCCTGCTTGTTGGGTTGCATCCGAACTTGCATCATCCTCGTTCTCCTCCATGCTCCACAGCTCCACGTACAGCCGGTCACACTCGACGTCCACGCCCGCCAAGAACGGAGTGTCCTGCGGCCGGCGGTCGTCGCACCCCCTCATCAACGCGTGCGCCTGCCCCTGCCCGTGCCCGCCAGCGGCCGCCTCCAACGGCACCACCGTGGCCGTCTCGGTGGCCTCGGTGGCCTCGCCCGTGTCCGTGCCGGGCAGGCACCCGCACCCGGCGCACCCCCACCAGCACCAGCTGGCCACCATCCTGACCAGCTCCCCCGTCGAGATCACGGTGGACAGAGGCATCATCTGCTAGCATTTGGCCACGCTGGGGTTCTGCCTGTTCTCCCGGCTCTTCGGATCAAGCAACAACACCAACGCCTCGTCTTCCAATCGGCAGCCAAAGCGGGTGCAACAGTGAAGGCCCAAGGCCCAAGGGGCCCGCCGGCCCGCCTGATCACCTGACTACCCACTCCCCTAATGTTTGTTCTTCTGTTGTGAGTGTGTTTGTCTGTTTTGTGTATGTTTGTGTTCGTGACTTGGAAAGCCTGTAAAATAATAAGACATAGTGTGATACTCTGATTGTTAGGGCCTTACAAGGCTTTAGGATTGTAAGTATAATTTAATGCCTCAGCAGTTTCCTTGTAAGATTTTGAAAAGTGATAAGTGTTATGATTGCGGTTAGTAGGATCACATCCACTCTTTCATGTCCTGTGAAAGATTTATTTAGTGTGATTCATAGCTTTTTTTCATAATCAACATTGTGTGAATGGGAATTTTATGGTTGTTATAAGGTAATTTTAAAATATTTATTGAAAACAGATCAAGTTCTATTGGTTACATCTTCATTTGAGGTTGAGCATCTGTTGTATGAAATTCAATGTGATACTCTTTGCCTGTCAGCCATATGTACACTAGATGACTGCTGTTGCTTTCCTATTTGGACCAAAAGGCCCCATATCTATCACTGCCATGTTGTGAAACAATTTTTGACATTTATTTCGACAAGACAATATTCTTTGTACCTTGATTGACCAAATTTCCTTTGAATGATGTTCTCTTTTCAATGGATTTATTTAAACTGAAACTGACCAATTAGCTTCAACAGCTGTTTATGATGAAAGAAAGATTTTGTGGTTTCAAAATCTGGTTTTAAATTTCTCTGCCTCATTATTCAATTTCATTCCTTTGTCAATTTTAATGCAGGGTGCTTGAACCTAAACTTTGCTTTTGTAGAAGACTTTTTTATAACTTGACTTTTTGAAAAGTGCTGGACGCCTCGTAATTTCATGCTCAACATCTGGCTTCTATTTCATTTTGGTCGTATTGAATTTGTGATTGTGGATTCAATGAGTAGAGTTGTATATAAATTTATTTGTGATATGATGCTGGTTCTTTCTTATATGTTGGTTTAATTTTATGTTTCCTTTTTATTGTTTCTGTTGTTTACTTCATTCTTGTGCTCTTTTGCTCACTGTTGTTATTAATTTATCTATGATGGCCTCTGGAAGTGCACTGCTGGAAAAGTGCACTTTTCTCTATTGTCAATTTTATTCCCTTCGATTGTATCAACTTCTCTATTTCCCTTTTCGAAAACAGATGTTTGTGAGTGAATTCAAAATTATGCTACAAACCACTTCCTTGCTCATTCTGTCATTTTCTTGTGATTTTTTTGTTGTATACCATTGAAAACTCTTTGTAACTTACCTGTTATATTTTATTCATTTTTACCTGCTCCTTATTGGTTTTTTAAAATGTATTTAACAATAGAGGTTAATCCTTTGTTTATTGGAGTTCATTGAAAATTAAAACAACTTTCTGTGATGAATTGTAGCCTTCTGTAGTATTCTGCACTGCCTGCTAAAAGCATTAGTGTAAAGAAAAGTAGTGCTCGGTATAACAAGGGCCCTAATATTCTGTATTACTGCAATTAAATTATTTGTGAGTTATCGCACTTAGAATGGCCTAGATTAAGTGAGATTAATTTTGAGCTGAGCTCCAAAACTGTTCTTCCATCTGTGTACCAAGCTCCAAAACATTCTCCTGCTTTGGACTGTGTCAATTTTGAACATATTTCATGACTTTCCTTCACCACTTGACTCTGAAATGCAGCCCTGAGTTGCAAGTGCATTTACTTGTCAAACCAAAGAGTTATGCAGAGTAAAAGTGAGTGGCATGTCTATTTTACCCTAATTGCTTCTGTTTTAAGTAAATTTGTACATACATCTTTGTGTACCAGATCTATACCAGTGAATCCATCCATTGGCAGACTAAGGTCTGTTTATTGTTGTTTTGAATGTTTTAATTCATGTTGTGCACAAACGAAAAACTGCAGAAAATAAAAGAAACATAAGATATCAATTTGTCTTTCTTAATGCATTTTAAACCCAACTTTCGTCCACCCATAACCGCATGCAAAGCGCGGGCGGGCGGTGCAGGCCACAGCTCGGCACGGCTAGTACCAAAGTACCAACAGCGGCCACCTCGCTCGGGTCTATATATTTTGTTTCATACACAATTTTAATTACTATCTTTGGAATGAGCCCGCATACTACCCCGTATAAGGAAACCGAACGAGTATTGACTAAGAAATTTGAAAGGGAAAAGAAAAAAATTTGAACTCTACACCCCCTCCCCAGTCTTAATGGGGAGGCCTCCTGCTTTACTTCGGTGTTCGGGATGGGAACCGGTGCTATCAGGTACCTGGGGTTAATCCCGTCAGCGACCCAAGCGTTCGCCGGGGGACCCAGTAGGACCCCAAAGCTCAGACAGCTGGGTCGGAGCACCCAGTGTGAAGCTCTTAGAGGGGCGGGACGTAGAGTGAGACGACAGAGAGACAGAGAGAGACTCAGACAGAGAACAGGTTTGGTGGGAGCTTCTTGTTTTCGTAGGGTTGGTTGTGTACCCCATGGTACCCCCACTGTCCGGCGCTCCCGTACCGAACATACAGCGTTTTAGGCCAGCTTCAAAGGACTTATCATCGCCTCCCCGACGGATCAAGGAGGCACCACCCGCAACCACACACCGGGTGGTCTGGATTGATGGATCAAATACGCCATCGCTCCAGTGCCGAGGCCAACCCGCCGAAGCGGATTGCTTTTTAGACACCCACAGCGGAGTGGCCAGGTGAATGTGACTCTGACCACTACGCTATCACGCTTGTACGTCTGGCAGCGTGTTGGACGACGGGTTTGAGTTGCAGTGGGAGGAAGGCGGTCGAAAAATGTAATGAAATGATGGGATTCGATCCCCGGACCTCGCCATCGGGATCACACGACTTTACGCTCTCGGCCACCACGGCCCATGATGAGGGGTCCGGCGTAAGGTGAGTTCTTGACGCAACAGGACTCGACCGACCCGGTCAAAATTTCGCAAGAAGTTGGGGGAGTCGAACCGCCGACCCTAGTATAGGGAACCGACGCCTCTACTCCCTGGACCACCACGTCCCATGCACGGAATGGGCTCACGTTCACGGGTTTCAACCGCACTGGGTGAGGCAGTAAAATTAAATGGAAATATTTGTTAGGAGTCGAACCTCCGGCATGTGGGTCTGTCGCACACGGCTCCGCTCGGATGGCCTCGAACCACCACCCTCAGGATAGTAAGTCGAAAAAACGTACGTGACGCTGGTATTCGAACGCCCGCCTGCGGCAACTCGATCCCACGTCCCTAACCTCTCGGCTATCACAGCAGTTGTGAAACGCGACGGATCATCTGCTTTGATTATCGTTGAATGAGATTTTTTTCGACAAAAATGGTCGACCTGCTATACAGGGCCACGAATCTATGTCAGAACTCGATGAGATTGCTCACGTGGCGTGGCTGTCCTGTAAAAAATGCAGAAACATCTTTGATTGGACGGTGCCCTTTAGAGTTCGTCCGTGAAAGGTACTCGGGGTGCGCGCTGAATTATGGAGCCTTGGTTCTAGCCCGTGTCAGGCCTCGTGGCTCTGCGGGGCGTGCTCCATCGCCACCGCCACAGTCGCGACGCGTGCTGAGCCATGGCCGCGTGAAGTGCGAACTACCAGCGACCGGGTTGTGGAGGCCTTGTCTCCGCGCGAGGATGGCGTTGACGCTCGCGTTCACGCGCTCAGGAGGTGATTAGAGCGAGTTGCCGGCGTGGTTCGTCTTTTCGCCTCTCGGACTGGGGATTTAGCCACTATGGGCCTAATTAATGTATTTCGATGCGCTGCTAGTGTTGGCGCTCGTCGTCGTCTTGGCTACGCAGTGCGTCAGTGGCGACAGCGATGCCGGCCCCGCCAACCAGACCAGCGAGACTCTTTGCATCCACGGACCGGGGAGCCGCTGTGCGCGGGCGGCGCGGCTGTGGTTCCCGGGCAAGTCCGGCGCCGTCCCCGCGCCGACGACGGCCACCCTCGCCCGGTCTGCCGCCATGGTCGAGAAGCCGGCCGCGAACGGCAACGCGACGTCCTCGGCCACGTCCAACCCCCTGATTGAGCACCTGCTCGGCACCCTCCTGACCGCCACCGCCGCCCCAGGTACCCCGTCGTCCACGTCGTGGTTCTGCACTGGTTCTGCCTACCGTAACCGCCCCGCCCCTTGCCGCAGACACCATCTGGGGCGCGACGGTGGAGAAGCAGCGCTGCTTCCTGGCGCCGGACGCCCCGCGGCCCGTGGCCGGGCTGGTGACGCGCCTGGCCTTGAACGAGCTGCGGGGCTGCGACCCGGCGCTGCTCTGGGACGCGTCCATGCCGGCGGGCGAGGAGACGCTCCGCGAGGTGCTGGCCGCGCTGTCCCGGCCCTACGTGCTGGCCAGGACGCCCACCAACACCGCGCCGTCCTGGCTGCCGCGGCCGCGAAGCCCGCCCTGTAAGCGCACACCTGGCGCACGCCTGCAGCCATTGGCTGTGCGGCGCCCGCCTCGCTGACGCCCTCCTTGGTGTGCCGCAGACGCGCGACGGCGCCGCGGCTACTGGCGGGACGTGCTGCCGCCGCGGGAGAAGTGCCGCCACGTCCTGGCACTCGTGGACGACGTCATGTCGGTGGGCGCGCTGCTCGGCAACCTGAGCGAGGCCCGCGTCGTCGTGGTCAGCCGGTCGCCCAAGTGGCGCATCCGGGACTACCTGGGCAGCCCCATGGCGCGGAACATCCGCAACCTCCTCGTGGTGCACGACCGGTCGTGGCGGCACGGCACCGCGGTGCGAACCACATCGCCTTGCCGGTGTTCCACGCTCGTCTCCGAGGCGGTCACGTGACGTTTGTTGGCACAGGCCCTGGGCTACCCCGACATGGACCTGTATTCGCACCGCCTGTTCGTGGACTCGCTGGGGTTCTCGACGTCGCAGATCTTGACGGCGTGGCGGTGCGACCGTCTGACGCGCGCCTCCGCCAACCTGTTCCCACTCAAGATGCTCGAGGGCTTCGCCGGCCACCAGTTCACAGTGTCGGCGTCCGACACGCCGCCCTTCATGTACCGCACGTAAGGCTCCGGGCGCGGGGGAAGGGGGGGGGGAGACCATCCCGCCTAACGCGTTGACGGCGTCCTTCCGCAGCGTCCTCAACGCGGACGGCGACACGCGCTGGGACGGCATCGAGATTCGGCTGCTGCGGCTGCTGGCCGAGAGGCTCAACTTCACCGTGGACGTGCGCGAGGCGGCCGATGACGACGCCAACCCGTAAGCACGTCAGGCCGAGCCCTGGGGCCGGGCCAGTAGACGGCCTGCCCGAGGGCTGCCTCTCTCCATCCCGCTCTGTTCGCAGGATCGGGTCCGCGGTGCGCGTCGTCAACACGATCGTGGGTGGCAGCGCCGAGCTGGGCGCTGGCGGTATCTACGTGACGCAGCCCCGCATTGAGGTGGTGGACGTGAGCTTCCCGCACACGCAGGACTGCGCCGCCTTCATCACGCTGGCCTCGGTGGCCCTGCCCAGGTACCGCGCCATCATGGGGCCCTTCCACTGGACCGTGTGGCTCGCCCTCACGCTCGTCTACATGTTCGCCATCCTGCCGCTCGTGTACTCGCACTCCTTCTCGCTCCGCATCCTCCTCAAGTCCCCCGGCCAGATCGAGAACATGTTCTGGTACGTGTTCGGCACCTTCACCAACCTCTTCTCCTTCAAGGGCCGCGACTCGTGGACCGCCTCGACGCGCACTTCGACGCGCATGATCATCGGTGAGCGGTTCTCTGTCAAGTAGAGTCACCTCGCCTGCCGTGGCGGCCGGGCGGCCTGGTGGACTGAGACAGGTGGTGTTCCCGCAGGCTGGTACTGGGTGTTCTCCATCATCGTCACGGCCTGCTACACGGGCTGCATCATCTCCTTCATCGCCTTCCCCGCCTTCCCGTCGGTCATCGACTACATCTGGCAGCTCTGGGACGCCGGCTACTCTATCGGCACTCTGCGTGAGTTGACGAATGACGTCACAGCGCCGCACTGCCAGGCGCGGATCCAGGATTTCTGAAAGGAGGGGTGAAGTATTGGTCCATGCATTGGTCCGCAGGCACGGACGGCTGGAGCACGTGGTTCCGCAACTCGTCGGACCCGCTGACGGACAAGCTGCTGAAGAACATGGAGACGGTGCCGACGGTGTGGGAGGGGCTGGTCAACATGACGCATGCCTACTTCTGGCGGCCCTACTCGTTCTTGGGCTCGCGCCTGTACCTGGAGCACGTGGTGCGCACCAACTACACGGCGGAGAACAAGCGGTCCCTGGTGCACGTGACGCGCGAGTGCCTGGTGCCCTTCTGGGTGGCGCTCGTCTTCCCCCGCGCGGCCACGTACAGCGAGCGCTTCAACCAGCTGCTGATGCGCTCGCTGCAGGCCGGCATCACGGAGAAGCTGCGCCGCGACGTCACCTGGGACGTGATGCGCACGCAGGCGCGCAACGGCCGCCTGCTGCTGCAGGTGGGGTGGCACCAACTCACGTGGGATAAATGCTCCGCCACCGGGAGTTGAACCTGCGAAGCTGCGAACGGACCGGTTGCCGCAGGTGAGCAGCGGTCGCGGGCTGCGGATGCCGCCGCCAGAAGAGCGCTTGCTGTCGCTGGACGACACGCAGGGCATGTTCCTGCTGCTGGGCGCGGGCTTCGCCATCGCGGCGCTGGCGCTCTGGGTGGAGACGCTGACGGGGCGCATCCCGCTCTGCAGGAAGTACTGCCAGCCCGGGCCGCGGAGGAGGTCGGTAGTCCGAGACTCAGCCTAGCCGCCTCGCGTGCGTTCAGCTCTCTGACAGTGTGCTGGTGCAGGTCCAGCGTGGGCAGCATCCCCCCCGGACTGTTCGACCGCGACGACGACGCGCCGTCCTCCTCGCGCCGCCCAAGCTGCGTGTCCTCGGAACCCAGTCGCGCCGGCAGCGGCTCGACGCGGCGCAGCGGCTCCGCCGTTCGGCAGAGGAGAGCTGCGGCGTCGTCCGCGGAGTCCCTGCAGGTCGTGCGCGAGGACGTGGTGGCTGCAGTGGTGAGTGCCGCGGCCGCCGTGTCCTCACTGTCCCGCCAACGGGAACCACGCTTAATAGGCCGCCCTCGGCGCAGGACGTCCACGCCGACGGCGAGCCCCGGCGAACCACGCACTCGCTCCTCGGCAAGGTCATGTCCACGGTGGCGGCCTCGATCGCCTTCCAGCGGACTTCGCTCGGCGTCCCGCGCGAAGCGTGGCGCGAACAGCAGCAAGCCGAAGAGGATGACGTCATGGCGAAGCACACGCTGCAGGTCCACGAAGACACGGTGCTGCACCTCAGTAACGGTGAGTCTTCCCTTCGTTTCACGCGCCGCCTGTCGCAAGCCCCCTCTACAACCTGCTGCACGCCGCGCCGTCTTGCAGCGTGGAGTGACAGGAGCGACGCCACCAGCGCTGCCGATGCAGACGACGCGCACCTTCGCGTCCTGGGCGACGGGGAACACGCGGAGCTCGCGGAGCACGCCAGTCTGGCCGTCGGCGGGCGGTGCCGCCGGGGCTCCGTGCACCCACTGGCATTCCGTCACCTCCCCGAGGACAGCCCCTCACCGGACCAACTGGACCCGGGACAGGACATTGGTGACCAGCCAGAAGAGCGCCTTAGGTAAGCCCGATCAAGCTTTCAAGAGCTTTCAGGTGAGTGCGCGGCTGCGCGGGGCTTGCCCTGTTTCAAGGACATGGCTTCCAGGTGGGGCAGCAGCACGGGGCACAGCTCCCTGTTCGGCAGTCCAGTCCACCACTCGGGCCTCGGCGTCGGCGACCTTCCTGAAGACACCCCGGGCGTCGAGCAGGACCTGCCCGAGGACCCCGACGACGACACGTCCACGTACATTCTGTTACACGCGTCCAGCGAGGACTTGCGGCCGGCGGCGCGGCCCCCGACTCCATTCGCGGTCCTGGACGCCGGTACCAAGACCACGCTCCGCCCCGTGGCCTCCAAGCTGGGGCACCGCCGGCGGTCGTCCGTCGCCCTGGCGGCCCTGGCCTCGGGTGGCTGGGGGCGGCCCGAAGAGGCGTGCGAACAGGACCAGGGCCAGAACTTGGACACCGAGGACGAGGCCACCGTCGCCGTGGGTGACTGGAAGCAGGAAGAAGGCGAGCAGGAGAAGGACGAGGGTGAGGACCCAGAGGAAGAGGCCGCCGTCGCCGTCCACCTGTCGCCGCCCCCGGGGTCCTTCCCCGGCACGCCGCCCCCGGGGTCCTTCCCAGGGACGCCGACCCCGCCACCCCAGCGCGACCCCGGCTGCTCGTGACAGAAAAATCGCTGCCGCCCCAGGTTGCCTAGGGTCTGCTGCTGCTGTTGCTACTGCTGCTGCTGCATTCTGCAGTCCGCGTGAGGTTGGGCAGGTGTGTGGGTCTAGTCATGTAGTATGTGTCCATCTGGACTGACTTGTGCACACTTTACGCGTACTCTGCAGAGCCTCCCAAATTTCTTTTTCTGGGCTGTTGTGCGGATGTCATTTCTTTCAAATAATGGTTTTTCCAGTAGTATGCAGGTATGTTGGCAGAGAAAATTTCTTTTGAGGCAATGACACAATTGTATGGCTCTAGGATCAGTGTCAAAATAAAACACCAGCTCTATATATTTATCACATTTTATTTTGTTCATCATTCAACAAAAAGTCAATGTTCACCAAAAACCCATAACAATGTTTTCAAATAAAATAATTCACTTACAAAGAACCCTTTCATCTTGGTTTAGTGTATCACGATTTTTTATACAAATGGCGTTTCCACATTTGACCCTAATGTTTGGAGTTACAGTGTGCTATTGATATTTTGAATGTGCAGTTAAATAGTCCACAAAGGGTGAACTCTTGATAAGCACATCAAATGAGAGGAAGAAGAAGGGAACAGCAGCTCAACTGACCTTGTGGCTTGGTGGAAGGTTAATGTGCCCCAGAAGTTACAGATAAATTACAAAACAAACAATTAAACAATCAGAGGAGACTAAGAGAGAGGACACTTTGCACTGACCCATAGGAACAAGATAGCAGAGTGCAGCACTGCAGCTGAGCGATTTTAATACATTTTGAGCGAATTGAATTTATTTCAATGGTTTGATTTACTAATATTAAAAAAAAGTAAGTGTGCTGCAGCGCTTAGAATACTTGATTGCTTTAGAGCTGGCAGCAATTTTGATCAGTTTCTGTGTTTTACAGAGTTCAATCTTTTTCTCTTTCGACTAATTTCCTCACAGAGGAACATAATACATACCTTAGAACTCATGAGTCATTATTACAAAGGAACCTGCACCAATGTGTCACTTCAAACTTTGTCATGACCATTTGCGGCCTCTGAAATGCATGCATAACAGACCTTAGTAAGAGTTTTGATTTTATTTTCATTGGTTCCATGATATTGTAAAACCTTGCTTGTCTACTCAGATTTATTTCACAGAAGTGCTTGGTATACAATCAAGCCTTCCATTGGGCTCTTTAAGTCTTTCAATAATTTAGAAAGAAAACACAAATAAACTAGGATGTAAATAACAGCTGCAGTAGTCATTCTCATTGCAATTATGCTAGACTAATCTTGCAAGACTAATATATTTCAATGAAAATTTAGAATATAGCAGTAGCTTGGTAAAAATGTTCGGTCGACATGCGCTTTTTTGAACTGTACAAACGCAAGGGATATGCATAGGTTGGCCGACAAAATTACAATACACAGCCAGACTGTTACCCTGAAAAATCTACAAAGCAAAATATGCGAATCATCACACCAACAGGGGAAAAATATATCTCCAGTGCTACTGCCAGCAGTTAGCAATACTCGCTTTTCCTGGATTACCATAAATGCGGGTAATATGGACCACCAGTGGGTAATGTGGAACACCCCTGAAATTCTTCTTAATAATCGGTTCGAGCCAAGGCATACTTGGTTCGGATGCAAGTAGCTGAAACGATTTTGATGCCACAGCTGAGCGGCATCACCGATAGCTCATAGAGAAAAGTTTTAGGGGTGGACCTCATTACCAACTGGTGGTCCATATTACCCACTTTCATGGTACCTGCAAAGATGTATCTAGCATAATTGCAATAAGAAGAGTGTGTTAATTTTTCTCCTTCACATGAATAAATTGGTATCAACCTCAGCAAATTTTGATGGCCCATGAGAACTCAGTAAACAAACTATGAGCTACAGGAAACAGAATGAATGATTACAACATAGTGTTTCTAATTAATCATCAATAATATAGTTACTTCTCTCTATTAGGCCTTGAATTTGCCATGATGCTGCACTTGTCAAATAAAGAATGCATCCCGGGAAATGTTGCTTGACCCAGTAAATTGTTTTCCAGTCCCATATTTCCAAACAAACAATTTCATCTGAATTATCTAATCTTTTTCAGGTCTATGTGAATATAGCCATCCAGATACTAATATTTTTTCCTTTATCTTGCTAGGGTTAAATTGATCAAGAAAGTTCACAATACCATACACCACATCATTTAGGTTCACTGCAGTGCATATGTCAACACTTAAACATATACACACTCGCCGAACAGTAGCGAGGCTCTTATTTGTGAGCAAATATTTCATATAAAAAAATTATGTTTACATTTATTTAATATATACGTATATAATTCCATATTTATATATATTAAAAAATCCCTAAACTTAGCTCACCATTGCATATTTGCTATTGTTTAGTGCTTCACTCTTTGTTGGTCTTTGGGGCTTAGATTGGCACAAATTGAATCTTTGATAAGAGTTGACAAGAGGTGAGCAAACCAATTTTGAAATAAAGTGGGCTAGAAAAGACATGGATTCAGCTAAATTAAAGCTAAAAAATAAATAACAATGGAAACAAACATCATGGAGAAACAGTGTATAAACAAAGTAACAATTACAAAATACATCCTTTTGCTACTATTGCAAACAGAGACTGTATGCAACAGGTCTAATGTGAAACAGAACCTTTCTCTTACATTTTCATTTTCTTTCAATGCTTGAGCAAGTTTTGATCTTACAGACAAATATCATCCAGATTATTTGTGGCCATGGTTTAAATCACCATCCAAATCCAAATTGACAAAGGAATTCTTGAAATAGACTCATGTATGACAATTTAAATAAACGAACAAACAAACAAACAAAAAAAAAAACAGGATAAAACTGCGTAATGTGCAAATGATAAGAGCAGGATTGAGGAATTGGTGTAAGTGAAGTAGCTGGGAATTCAGTGGCCATGCAAAATGATTATTTACGACTGAAACAGAGGAAAAGTGAAGGTGTTTTGGGCATTTTCACTGAAGCTTTTTTGTCCATTGCAATATAATCAAGGTGTCAATGTGTGAAAAGCACAAAGCTTCAAGAATAAAATAATTAAAATAAAAAAGAAGAACTACCGTAAATGCGGGTAATATGGACCACCAGTGGGTAATGTGGACCACCCCTGAAATTCTTCTTAATAATCGGTTCGAGCTAAGGTACTTAGATGCAAGTAGCCGAAACTGTTTTTGATGCCACAGCTGAGCAGCATCACCGATTATATAGAAAAATTTTAGGGGTGGTCCACATTATCCGCTGGGCGTCCATATTGCCGCTTTCACGGTAACTGCAAGACACTCAATTCTTACAGAAATATGTGCCCCTGTCTCCCCAGCTATGAATGATGAAGTGATTCTTATGGTTTTACACATGTAGAGTAAATAAGGAGCAGTCAGTAATATTTCATAAAACCCAAGGGTGAGATCTTTGCTTAATTTTTGGAGCATTGCAATGAAGGTCATGAGGTGAATTTCAATCACAACATCACTTATTCGTAAAACCTTTGCCAATTGTTTCTTATTTTGATTAATAACGAAGTCCATTCATGATTGAAAAGAAGCAGAAATAATCAAGTGTGTTTTGCTTTGATTCAACTCTCAATTACATTCCAAAAGTGCAAAAATTCCTAAAAAAAAAATTAATAAATATTGATTGCCAACACTGCTTTTCTTTGGTGAGGCACATCTTCCACATTTTACTTTGTGATATCCCTTTTCTTGCAAACAAAGCAAAGATCTCAGTGGTTAAATTACTAATAAACCACATTCTTCACAGTGTTCATAGATGGTAGACACCTCTTAATTTTGTTACATCATGAGTTGGAACATTGTATCCTTATTGCACACTTTCATCTAAACATTACTAATATTTCAGATAGCCTTTGTTGAGCTAATCACACAACAGACAACCCTGGTATTCCTCCTCCACTACGTTAAGACAGCTTCAGGACTGGCAGCTTCCTGATGGAGGTGTTTTCATTCATGAATAAAGCGTTTTTTTAGTCCAGGCATCTTTACAAAACGCTTCTGGTGCATCACCAACTGACCGGAGAGTAAGGGGATTCAAGACCCCAATAATGTTCAATGCCAGCGGCAAAGAGACGCTGGGTTCATTGTGGATAACGCCACCAATACCAATCATCGGAGGGAATCGACATAAAATACATTTTTCTGTATAATACATTTATCCTAAACGTTTTAATACTTCCATAATATCATACATTTAATTACAAAACAAAACAAAAACAAGAACTTTCAAACGGCTTAAACTCTTCCTAGGCAAATTGTTTGAGTCTTGTACTTGACACACATTTGTGGCGGATTGCTTTGTTGGCGACACACGCGAGGCCGTGGCCCCTTGGCCGGGCCTTGGCCGGGACGCACTCAGTGTTTGTACTCGGGGTACTTTTTCTTGTGGCTCTGGCCGAGGCCCGCGCTGGAGCCCGCCGAGGCCGAGGCCGAGGACGACGAGGCGGCGGCCGAGTTCGTGGGGGGCACTGCCCCGGGCACTGCTCCGGGCACTGGCACGAGGCGCGAGTCCGTCCCGGACGAGGACGCCACCGTCTCGCGAGACGACTCGTCCTCAGAGTCCCGGTTGCTCTCGTTGGAAGAGCCGCCACTGCCGCCGTCCCCGCCGACCCCGCCGCCCACCCCGTTGCCGTTGACGTGGTGGTGCTTGGCGTGCTTGGCGGCACCGGGGGGCTTGGCGGCGCATGCAGCCGCGTCGCCCGGCAGCTCTGGCCCCGAGTCCATCGTGTCAGACGAGGACGACGGCGGCGAGTGATAGAACTCCCGCTTGGCGCTGCCGGGCGGCGTCCGCGACGGCGTCCTCGACGTCGTCGCGCTCGGCGACTTAGCGCGGTGCAGCGGAGCGGACGCGGCGCCCTCCATGACGACGACCTTCTTGGTCGCGGCCGAGGCACTGGCCGCGCGATCAGCGCTAGGCGACCGCGCTGCCGTCACTCGACGAGCTTGAACACAGTCATCACTAGAGGACATCACCCAGCATATCTACGGGCAGGGGCGGCGGCGCTAGGCCTCAGCAGCCTCAGAGGGCTAAGACAGACTGGGAGACGAGTCGGCCGACCGGGACTGGGCCCGCTGGGCCGCCGGACTGGGCTCGGGAGGTGAGGCAGACGAGAGCAGAGAGTAGACCTCGGTTCCCACATGGTACTCACCTCTCGGTGTCGGGAGTGTCGCCAAGGATTTGGGTCCCGGACCGGTCCGGGTCGGCAGTCTCATAGATTGACTCCTCGTCGGGGAGCTGGTGGTGCAAGGCGTGGCCGGGGTACGGGTGGCCGCCGTAGTGGGACGACCCCGCCGAACCCCCGCTGCCGTGCCGGTTGGCGCTCGGCCGAAACCGGCCCAGCACAAACGACATGTCGTCGCGACCCGCCCGCGAGCCCCGCCTGGAAGACAACGGCAAGTTGACGAACAGCGGCAGCATGGCCTGCACGCTGCATGGCCCCTTACGGGCCCTCCGCGTAGGCAACCCGCTCGACCTCCGAGCTCACCCGCGGCCTACGCGCCACTCGTAAGGCGCTCTGCACGCGGCCGGCGGCCTCGGCGGCACAGCGCGTCAGTGCTCTCGAGATACGTACCGACTTGATTCAGATCCTTCTAAGAACATCCTCTCCTGCAGGTCCTCCGATCCAGACGGACTTATATGCCTACCGACGGCATCCATCTGTCGAATTATATCCTGAAACGAGAGAAACGTGGATAAAACTAAGAACACACTTTCATCTACAAAATGTGAGTGGTGGACGAATGGGACGTGCGGCTTCCTCGGGGTGGACTAGCACACTGAGAAAGACTGGGCCGACTGCCGCGGCACCCACCTTTCCTGCACCGGCATGCCAGTGGAGTCCGTTCGAGTGACAGGATTCCGACGGGAGGCTAGAGACGGGGAAGTGAAACTCCCCGCTGTACCCCACTCTCTCCTACGATCAGTACAAATATGTGTCATGAAAACATGCAATCCGCTGTCGATAGGTCGGTTATTATCATCATAATAAAAGACAGTAACCCATAAAGAATACGGAAAAGAAGCGGCAACACACAGTTTTTGGTGCAGGAAAATGTCACAAGCAACATTTTCGAATTTTGATTCTGACCGATTGCGTTTCACAGAGAATGAAAAAAAAAAAGTGAATAGAAAAGACAAATGTTCTCATGACACATACATGCACCAGGCCAAGGTGTTGTGCACCACTGACGTCCGCAAGTCCGTTGGCGCTACGCACGCTACGCACCGTGAGGTTCCTGATGGTCATGGGCCTGCTGCCGGGCGGAGGCCCGTCGTCGTCCTCGTCGTGGGAGTGCGTCCCCGAGTGGGTCCCGGAGTGGGTGCCCATCCCAGTGTGGGCGCCGTAGCCACCGTACTGGTAGCCGTGGGGGAACTGCACCTCCACCATGGACGGCATCATGCCCAGGCCTGGAAAGCAACATCGTCTCGTTAGTGCCTTCTCCCCGGCCGACAAACACAACCAGTGACGTGCCCTAGAACCCACCTTCGTCGCAGATCTTCTCCTGGCTGGAGGAGCGCTTGTTGGCGTAGGGCGGGTATACGGAGCCCTCGAGGGAGCGCCGGATGATCTCCTCGGTGAGCATGGAGGAGCCGGTGCCGGACGGCGTGTTGTTGCCGCCCGAGCTGTGGCCCTGGTGCTGCATGTTGCGGGCCGTGTGCAGCGCCTCCAGCATGCTGCGTGTGTAGCCGTCCAGGCTGCGGATCTTGTGCTCCACCTGCTGCGGCACCAGATTCAGCTGAGACCGCGCTGCAGAGGGCCGGAAAGGCTCTGGCGGGGCACCGCCTCCGCCCCGAACCAGGCCCGCACTCACCTCCGAGCTGAGCAGGTTGTCGGACTGCGACAACACCTCCTGGTTGTCCGACGTCGAGTCCTCGCCCCCGTCCATGGGCACGACCGACCCGTACGTCTTCTTCAGGATTCCCTTCTCTGGCACTGCACAAACGACAGCGCGTTCAGCACCGCACCAAAAAGCAAAAACAACTAAAACGTGTCCGGTCCGCTTACCAGAATGCGTCTGTTCGTCATCGCTAGCCTGTGCCATCCTGTTCTTGAGCGATTGCATTTGATGCATTTCCCTGCAACAACGCAAAGGACAGAGAGTTAGTGCGGCGTATAGCCAACTCCATGCTTGGCACAGCGAGCTCCAACCAGTGTACTCACTGTTGCTTGCGGTTAGCAGCCTGCGCGCCTGGTGGCAAGTGGTTGGAAGTCCGGGTGAGCGCGCTTCTGGAGTCGGCATGACTGCGGACAGACCCCGCACTCACATCGGGCCCAAGGGGGCTTTGCGACAGCCGCCTAACCCACACAATCTTTGTACTACTCACACCGACAAGTTTACTTCAATAACTGCATTTATGTTCAAACAGGGTGCAAGCCGCACACGCACGCACACACACACCCTCTCTCTCTGCTCGGTGTTCTCGCAGGGGGCCGGGGCATGGGAGGGTGGAGATAGAAGAGTAAAGACTCATGCCAAAAGAAACGGAGCTAACGTGCCTAGGAGACGGTGGTGGAGACTAGCTCATCTAGGATCTTCTAGCGGCCAGGCAAAGAACCGAAAAAAAGGAGAAAAAGACGCGCGCGGTGAGCTGGGTTCGAACCCCGGCCCAGGCATCGGAGAGGCTTCTCAGCGTGCCTTCAATTCCACGGCAGCGGCGAGCGATCTACAGTCAAACCGGGGGGGAAAGATGAATCAAGTTTTCTAATGCCAGCAATCACTGCGGCAGAGACAAGTAAGTGTGTATGATATGATATGCACCGGGCATGCAGTAACAAATTGTAGTTGTGGTATGAATAGTAGAAAGAATTGTGGGTGGCCTGCTTCCCTTTGGAAGCGATCTTACATGCTTCATTCGTACCGATCGCTTCCGGAGGGAAACCACCATCAGCGCTCTGACAAATATGACAATTCGGCTATCAAAAAATCACGTTGAAAAAAGTAAGGCTTTGTAAAAAAAAGCTTACTTTAAAAATTTATAATCTGATTTTCATGATAACTTCAAATGTTATGACAAACGACTTTAATCTAGGTTAAAACCGCGGTTTGTGTTACAAAAATAAGGTGACTGGTTATAGTTTCTGATTCTAGTGATCTAGTACATAAAAGCCACAGGCAGATTAAGGGAGGCAAATGATTACTCCAAAGTAATAAAGTACTCAAAGAGAGATACACTCTAGGAGCAGGCGCGAATACTAGGCGGCCTGACAGCCTGTAGTTGTCTAGTCAATTTCGAGTCCAGTCGTTTCCTCTTCCTGGCGCCGAAACGTGACAGCGGCACTACCCTGCTCTACACTGGCTGTACTGGGCTGGGCACGCCAGCGAGCTGCCAGCGTGCTGGTCGGATCGGAGGCCTTACCTGAGGGGGCCCAGCGTGCCCATGGAGCTGTTGAGGCCGCCGTGGGACAACATGTTGTTGGTCATTTTGTCGACCATGTCGAGAGCGGCCTGCTCGGGCGACGCATGGTGGTTCATGGCCTCCCTACTGCGGTAGCGCGCTACGGACGCCTGCTGTGCCGTGTACTGCATGTCTCGGGGCCGGGGGCCTCTCCTGATGTGAGTCAAGCCGTTAGCATGCAATCGCACTCGCACAAGTACTTGACGCCGACAGCGCCGTCCCGCCCGCGCGGTGCTGGACAGCACTGCACTGCAAGGTAGGGCATTGCAAGGCAGGGCACTGCAAGGCCACACCGAGTCGGGCGGAGCGGACTCGGCCTATCTACGCTTTGGCGGAGCTCGGCTCGGGGCGAGAAGCAGACTGTCCAGTGCTCGGGGGAAAGGCCGGGGGCAGGGGCAAGGCCGGGGGTAGGGCGGCGCCGCAAAACGTCTTCTTTCTCTTCTTCGCTGCATGCACATGCAGCACCAACACTACCACACTCATTCTCTCTCTCACTCGCTCCTCCTTCACACGCCATGCGAATTCCAGAAACCACGGGATTCAATCTCTCTTGAGTTGAGAATCGTTGGGGTCGGACGCACGACTCCGTCCTCCTGGCATGGAGGGTGCAAGCGCGGCGTACTAAAGAGAATGGCTCTAAGTTTGTTTTCCCTTTTCATACAAACAAGAAAAATCAGACTGGGAACTAGTTGCATAAAATTACTCTTGGAAATGCCGACTGTACTGCCGTTTCCTTCGACGCTGCTACGCAAGGCAGCTATGTACAATGTCACAGGGGGCAATTACTGACCTTGATTAGGCGAGTTTTATCAAATCTTCTTCTGGAGATGCTGCAATCAGACGACTTTCCCACCCACCCCCTCCGTCGAATTTAATTTTGCACAATTCTCAGTCTTGTCGTTCATATTGGTGGCAAACTCTGCGTCCCATCAGATGCTTTCAAAAGTCGTGTCCGTCACAAGTCGTCACAAGCAGGCCGGAAGACTGGCACAACATGCAGTGCTGTCTAAACAAAAGTCACGCAAAATAATGCTGGTAAGAATCCACTTACTTCCAAAAATTGTGATCGCACCTAGCAACATCGCAGCCAAAAATGAATATGGAAACACACGGAAAGTTTTACGGTTACATACAAAGCAGAAAAGTCGAATACACCAAATACAATACTCGTGCTTATCGCAAGTTGCCAAGGCGGTTTACGATACAGGACAACACAGAGATACAAGTTATAGAGAAGAGGTAGAGAAACCCTTGACACTGCCAACTGTTCAAATGAACTTCACTTCTCAGTATATGTAACATTCCCGATTAATCACAAACAATAGTCTGCCAGAACAAGGTTTTTACTTACCATCTGTAATAAAAGAAAATCCATCAAACCTCTTTGTTTTGTGTACAGGTAAAACGCTATATCAGTGCTACGCCGACCTCGTGGTGCGGCGGTGGCTGTGGCTACGTGGGTAGATGCCACAACAAATCTAGTGTCCGGGACATAGACACGATTTTTTGGACCAAAACGCTAACTAATTTCTATGAGAAGACCCAGTGGCTATGATCTTCAAATTCATCGTTACAGTCCATTCCCTGAAACGAGCCCTGATTCCTAGGCTAAAAATGATGATCTACTGATGAGGGGATGCCACAAAACTTGCACGCCAAATTTAGCGCAGTGGTACGGCCAAAGGGGCAATGTGCTAGCTAAGTCTGCTCGGAGGCCCAATGCACGGCCCTAGGAAGCCTTTACGCCGAGGGGGCCTATCGCAATCACAGTCCATTTGCCCTAAACTAAACGTTGTGTCACCTTGCTTTGATTTGAATAATACCGTGCTGCTAGAGGCAGAATACCAAAATGCCTTCTCAAAACTAAAAGTTTGATTTCGGGAATCTCTAATAGGCAGACACGTCTCAGCGTGTACCGAGAAGTGAAGTAATACGGTAGCAACTAGTCTTGGGTTCTCTTTAACTAATCTACTTGAAACTTTTCGATTTCTTCGCTGACATTCCAACGTTCCCGCCAAAACTAACCCAGCAGACAATGGTCTTCTGTAATTATTAATTTGCTATTTCTTGCAAGGACATTTAGAGTGCCAGCAGCCCAGAGGCAAACTCGGGGCTGTTCATTAGACCTACCTCACAGTTGACCTACCAATATATTTATTAATAAAAATATTAATATAAATATTTGAATAAAAATATGGGACTATAAATAATAGTGTTATAAATATATCAAAAAAGGTTGACCTACCCCACAGTTGACCTACCCTATATTTTTATTATAATTTTTTTTGAAGTATCGTCTACTGTCACTGGGACACTGTCGCGCTTCACCTGCCGCGACGTCATCGCGCTTCCCCTGCCGCGACACTGTCGCTCTTCCCCTGCCGCGACACTGTCGCGCTTCCCCTGCCGCGACACCGTCGCGCTTCCTCTGCCGCGACACTGTCGCGCTTCCCCTGCCGCGACACCGTCGCGCTTCCTCTGCCGCGACACTGTCGCGCTTCCCCTGCCGCGACACTGTCGCGCTTCCCCTGCCGCGAGGAGGTCGCGCTTCCCCTGCCGCGAGGAGGTCGCGCTTCCCCTGCTGCGACACTGTCGCGCTTTCCCCGCCGCGACACCGTCGCGCTTCCCCTGCCGCGACACCGTCGCGCTTCCCCTGCCGCGAGGCCGTCGCACTTTCCCTGCCGCGACACTGTCGCCCTTCCCCTGCCGCGACACTGTCGCGCTTCCCCTGCCGCGACACTGTCGCCCTTCCCCTGCCGCGACACTGTCGCGCTTCCCCTGCCGCGACACTGTCGCCCTTCCCCTGCCGCGACACTGTCGCGCTTCCCCTGCCGCGACACTGTCGCGCTTCCCCTGCCGCGACACTGTCGCGCTTCCCCTGCCGCGACACTGTCGCCCTTCCCCTGCCGCGACACTGTCGCGCTTCCCCTGCCGCGACACTGTCGCCCTTCCCCTGCCGCGACACTGTCGCGCTTCCCCTGCCGCGAGGCCGTCGCGCTTCCCCTGCCGCGACACTGTCGCCCTTCCCCTGCCGCGACACTGTCGCGCTTCCCCTGCCGCGAGGCCGTCGCGCTTCCCCTGCCGCGACACCGTCGCGCTTCCCCTGCCGCGACACTGTCGCGCTTCCCCTGCCGCGACACCGTCGCGCTTCCCCTGCCGCGAGGCCGTCGCACTTTCCCTGCCGCGACACTGTCGCCCTTCCCCTGCCGCGACACTGTCGCGCTTCCCCTGCCGCGACACTGTCGCCCTTCCCCTGCCGCGACACTGTCGCGCTTCCCCTGCCGCGACACTGTCGCCCTTCCCCTGCCGCGACACTGTCGCGCTTCCCCTGCCGCGACACTGTCGCCCTTCCCCTGCCGCGACACTGTCGCGCTTCCCCTGCCGCGAGGCCGTCGCGCTTCCCCTGCCGCGAGGCCTTCGCGCTTCCCCTGCCGCGAGGCCTTCGCGCTTCCCCTGCCGCGAGGCCGTCGCGCTTCCCCTGCCGCGAGGCCGTCGCGCTTCCCCTGCCGCGAGGCCTTCGCGCTTCCCCTGCCGCGAGGCCGTCGCGCTTCCCCTGCCGCAAGGCCGTCGCGCTTCCCCTGCCGCGACACTGTCGCGCTTCCCCTGCCGCGACACTGTCGCGCTTCCCCTGCCGCGAGGCCGTCGCGCTTCGTCGGTCAAGTCAAAAATATAGGGTAGGTCAACTGTGGGGTGGGTCAACTTTTTTTGGTAATATTTATATTACTCCTATTTATATTTCCATATTTATATTCTAATATTTATATTAATATTTTTATTAATTAATATATAGGTAGGTCAACTTTGAGGTGGGTCAAGCTACATAGACTCGGCAAACTTATGTGAAGCATTATAACCTTTTTTGCTTTCTGAGGTTCCTTAATTTAGTGAAGTTGGCAAACCTGGAGCTAGCGCAGCGCGATGTAGTGGCTTTTGATCGCATCACAGCTTTAGGCTAGCCAACATTTTCAATTGCAGAGACCAAAGTGAAATTCACAAATTATAACGTATCAAATCAATCTGCTGGAAATGCCCGAAAAAGTTGATTTGCCGCGAAGATGGTAAACAGAAGAAAACAAATGTTTAACCACCAGAAACCAGCATTACCAACAAACAGATGGAAACAGGCATAAGAGATACGAAGGTCTAAGCAAACCAAACAGCATGGCATCAAACTACACACAAAGACAACTCTAAGAAGAGATGGGAAAATAATAGAGGGAATAGCTACGACGTAGACAACAGTGAAGGTTGGAATGTTGGCTACGCTGGAAAACGCATTCACCGACCAAAGCGTCGTTTCAGGGTTGCCAACAGTGAAAGAAAAGACGAACGCCACAGAGCCTTCTCATAATGGAGCTCGTGTTCCAGGGTTGGTATGTGGGTCGGGGACGTCGGGGATAGGAAGCGGGGTAGGGAGGGGAAAGCCAGGGCGCCACCGCCGCACGGGTCGAAGTGAGAAGGGAAGGGTGGGGAAGGGAGAGGAATCGTGTGACGGGTGGGGGGTGGAAACTCCTGGCCCAGGGCAGCTCGACTCTTCTCTGCCTGGTAGTTTGTTTCTTTTTGATTGGAGGATGCGTTTTCCCAACTACTGAGGGTAATAACAGCAGAGATTGAGACAGGTAAGACTGTGCTAGACAATGCAAAATAAGTGAAGAGTCTGGGGAAAATTGTAAACTGAGGGGTCTACCTTTGGGTCTGCTGACTAACCTTAGGCAGAGAGTGAAGTTTTTGTGTACTACGACTGACCTGTAGCATAATGCCACGAGAGCAAATAGAATGAAAACACCCCCTACACATGACATCAACATGATGACTAGGAATACTGTGTTTGTGCTGTGGTAATTTTCTATAGATTGAAATTGATGCAAGTTTTCAGTCATCCGGTGAATGCAGGGGGTTAGTGTGCAGACCGAAAGCCAAGTTCGGTGTCGTGGTGAATTACGTGATCGAATAACGCACGATTCGATGGTATGCCGGTTCCCAGTAGAAAGATGGTTGAGGAGGCGATCGGTGGCCAAGTCACCAGGACGAGCCATGCAGAGCCAAGAGACAGGAGAGAGAGAAACAGAACACAAGCAAATGTCAGCAAAAATAGCAAGAAAGAAATCATAACCAAATAAGCACACATCTTGACAAACAAAACAACAAATACACATTTTTATACGAGATTATTGGCTCCAGAGCTAACTTTCAACTTTACGGTGACGTAATTATATTTCAACATTAGTTTAGACTTTTAAGAGAGAGCGAGCTCAGGAGCACTTGTACAGGTCCACACAGAGACATACAATCGCTCAGTGAAATAAAAATAAATAAATAAACGAGCGTGTGCCATCATGTGGACATGTTGCCAGCAACAAGTGTTTGACTTGATGCGCAAAGAAGTTCAAATACACGAAACTGAAAAGAGTACCAAAGATAAATGCGTCAATGCCTTAGCACACACAGACGTACACATCGACTAAGCTACTAACACATACACAATGCCTTACAATCCACAAAAATTAATACCACTCGAGCAACTGGTTTACTTGTCCGGCGGAGAGCCAAACCAAACGTACAGTCTGTGAGAAAAATCCTTGCGATTTTTCAACGTGTTGCCATGTAAAATATCAGCTGCTTCAAATGTTGAAGATAATCTTAAGTCTTATGATGTGACGATTTTAACAGTCACGCGAATCAAAGGTATAAAACTTCATTGAAAATAACAAGGGTCTTTTTCACAGAAGTGCCTGGAACATGATACATTATTTTTGCAACTGGGATGAACAAATTACGTGGACCTGTTGAGAGACACGGCTATTTACCGAATTTACCCTCACCTCCCTCTGGTAGCTCACCAGGGACTGCTAATTTTTATATTAAGTAAGATATCTCTGTAAGGTTGGAAGCTCTGTACGGGTCTACTACTCAACGAGTAATTCAATAAAATTGTGCTCCGAAAAGCAAAGAGTGCGTGGAACAAGTACTACGAGCCACACGACTGTTGTTTATAAGGTTCCAAGTCAATCAACTACTTACCTCTGATTTGGGGAAGGGAACCCAAGCTTAAGGCCGATAGTTTCCATTTTATTATTTTCAACGGTGTTCAGAGGGAGGAGAGGGATTGGACAAGGTGGGATTCGGGTGGAGGGTGCGTCGTGTGGGACTGCCTGCAGCGCCATTTGGCAGTGTCTGATTTTTTTTTATTGATTACTGTGGGAACAGAGCGACCCAAAGCCCGAATTAAATGGCATTCAAGCTGTTTATCAAAAGGATATTCGTCTGCAGGCTTCACTCCAGGCAAGCGCACACTGACACCCTCCTACACAATCTGGAAGGCAGAAAATGTGAATGTCTACGACGAAACAAGAGCGTTACCTAAGTGAACTGTACAGTAAGAGGAAAATGGGTGTCAGCAATGGTCGGTCGGTACATGGTAAGACATCCACGAGTACTTCATGCTAGTCATTGTCACTCACAAGAGCATGCGGAGGGGCGAATCTAGTCGGCACACACCTGTACAGGCGTAACCATGCACAGTCAATAAAACACCGAAAGCTGCTGTTCCTCGGCCACCCGTCGGAATATTTGTATTTGAATTGATCTTTGAGGCGTTTAAGCGTTTGAGAGAACACAAGAAAATACAGCGTATTCCGAAAGATGCTCGTGGTTACCAGCAAAATCAAACTAGGTGGCAGGTGCATGCAGATTCCGAGACGGTTACACGGATGCCACCCAACAACTTCACACTCCAAGCACTCACAAACACGAGCGAAAGCATCATATAGATATATTTAAAAAAAAAGAAAATAGACGTTAATACAACTTAAGTAGGCGTCAATGGTGTACGTAAAATTATGTCAGACGTCAGCAGAGTTTCTTCTTGTTCTAGTTCTCCTGGAGATAACTAATTTTCTTCTTAGAGGCTTCACAGTACGGCCTACAAGTCTAAATCTAGAGGCCCAGTTAGCTTGTTTTTCATTCTGCACACCCCATCACACGCACGCACAGACTCTCTCACACAGCCATAGAACCACGCACCGGCCTCATCTCACTCACTCTCACACCACTCACACACATTCAAAAACTACCAACTAGCAATAAACGACACTCTGAAACAGCGCAATAATGATTCTAGCTTGCGAACAATTGTTGCAGAAATGAAGCGACGCTTGACCGCTCGCGGCGCCCGGCCCAGACCCCCGACTGCCGCGGGGAAGGCCTCGACCCTCGCCTCGACCTGTGCACTGCCGCTGGCACCGCTGGCACCGCTGGCACCGCTCGTCAGGGCTGGTGAGGGTGGGTCAGGGTCGGTCAGGGCGCCTCCCCGCCACGCCTAGGAGGCCGTCGGCCAGCACGCCGCGGGCGGCGCTGGCGTTTAGAGGCCGCGAGAAGGACATGATGATTCTGCTACACAACGCTAGAAGACGAGACATGAGCTGCGAGCGAGAGGGGCCGGGGCATGGGGGTTGTTCGCGTGGGAGGTGTTTACCCTGCTCCACGTCGGAACAGGTTACATTATTTTCTAATCGGAAAATTGATGTTTTTAACAACATGGTTAGTTAAAAGGGTTGTGAAAAATGTCGACTGGAACAGTCTTGCGTTTCTTCTCGTCCCTGCCGTTACCGCGTTGGCCAGAAAGAAAGAGAGGTAGAAAAATAAAATGTACCTGCACCAAATCGACAGGAGGGCAAACAAAATGAAGACGCCCTTGACGACGCCCACTAGGATGAACACCATAGACAGAGTGCTCAATTGGTTGCGTCTCGCCTGTTCCTCTGCAAGCAGAACGACTTCCCTTGACGAGACCATAATATTGGCACAGGTACACCATTGACTTCCTCGAGGTCACGGCTCTTCTTGGCCGCCGCAGGAAAAACAAAACAAATAAATTTAAAGTACATAAGTTTGGTCGGAATCGTGCCGTGACACACACGCACACGCAGTTTAAAACACCACACACACACCCAAGTTGCCTGGCCACCAACGTGGGTGCTTCGAAAAATATATTTCAAAGAATACGAATGAAAAAATCTCCGCTTTCTTTCAACTTTGTCGTTCAAACTGAGGTTTGGACACGGGGTTTGAGGACAGGGATTCATGCTGGAGATGCAGCGAACCAAGCGATGATGACGAACATGTATCTAATAACAATGTTACGCTAAACTTGATCGAGGGCCACTTCTCCTCTGCAGATTACACACTTTTTTTATACATGACTGAATGATTCCGTAACTCGGAAGCGTGGCCCTCTTTGCGGCACTCCTTGAACGGGATTGGCATGCGTGATGACATGCAGGACAACAATGGCGGATGAAACGGAAGCCAGCGGGATGCGATGGCCGCGACGGCCGCAACGCCCCAAAGGAGGGGAGGGGTCCACGAAGGCCCTGCTTGACCTGACACGCACTCTCTCTCTCTCTCTCTCTCTCTCTCTCTCTCTCTCTCTCTTACACACACACACGCTCACACGCGCGTCGAGCCAAGCGGGTCTTGGTGGTGGTCTTGGTGGAGGGGAGGGAAGTCTGAAGAGTTGCCGGGCACCTCATGCAAGCACAGAGACACACATCCAAAAGGCCTCGGGGGACAAGCGTGGACACCAACACACACAGCAACGAAAGGGAAGCCCCAGACTGTGCGCCCCGCCCAGCCCCGCCCGGGCCCCGCCAAGGAGTGCCTGCGAATGGCCGAGCGCGGTAACGTGGCGGTAACGTGCTCACTGCGGCCCCACTCTACGGCTTTTGGAGGGGCACTCGAAACCCTGTCTTTTCACAGCCGTGAGTGAGGACGATGGAATGTGCCCATTACCGACAGCGCTTGGACGGCTATTCGAAAGTCACCTTCAGCAATATACAGAAAAACAACACAAAATAAAATGTCTTTGTTTTTATAATATCGAACTTCCATTCGTATGTACCTGTACCAATGCGCGCAAATGGCGAAGGAGATGAACACTCCGAAAACTACACCGACCATCATGATGACCATGGCAATGGTCATGAGCTCGGTGCTGCCAGATGCCTCTGCAACGCAATCAGATTAAGGCGTGCCGTGCTCTCTGTGCGGCCTGGGCAGGTTTCAGGTGTGCCATGGTTCAGGTATACAAACTTATTTACAATAAATACAAAAAAAGACAAAAACCGCGGGAAATTTGACACAAAAAAGGGTTTTCTCCTCGCGCGCGGTTGCCAGTATTGGTGTTTCCTCGCTGCGTTCGCCGTGGTCGATTGGAGGGTGGTCGTTGCAAGTGGGGCCGAGTGAGGCCGACGGGGCCCTGGACACCGTACTGCTCAGCCCAGACCGAGGTCCGCCTCCGCGCCGACAACGACGGCTGGGGCGTACCTGTAGCAGTAGACTGCCACGGAGGCAAAGCACAGGAACACGCCGAACACCATCGTCACCAGGGTGATGACCATGGACAGGGTGGACACGTTGTTCGACGCCGTGGTCTCTGCGCAACAAGCTCAGCGTCATCGGCCGCACGACTAGGGTGGATTCTCGATTGCCTCGGCGACCACCATCGTTTAGAAAAGTTACCGAGGTTCGGCCGGGCTCGGCCCAGCGGGTCGAGGGGTCATGTCTACGACGGGACTACGGCAAGCAGCCACTACACTACGTCATCGTCGACTTCTCGCGCGACATGGCGCAGAGCAGGCGCAGCACCCGAAGGGACTAGCGAAGGCCTTTTTTTTTTACAACGCTATGTTTAACTAGCTCAAAAGGCGTAGTTTTAGAAGTAAACTCTATGTTAAATTTTTGAAAAGCAACATCTAAAATTTCTATGGTGTTTTATCGACTTTGCACGGATGTCAAACGTTTAAAGGCGTCTTTTAATTGCTTCCAATGTTGTAAATGGCTGCACGAAGGACACGGAGAAGCTCCGAGATCTGCTATAAATAAGGTTGGGTGAGATCACAGCACAGCAAATAAGTCGACCAGCTTGCCCTCCAAGAAGAAAGTGCAACATCTGGAATAAAAATTGTCACGATCCCATGCAAAGATCTACAAAGTATTCTAATCGGCCTTAGCCAGAACACAGGTTTGAAATCAATTAAATATTTGCACACACGTTTGTGGTGGGAGCAAAAATTTGACTTGAAAAGTGCAGGAAAAAAACAAATTCCAACAAAGGCGTGTCCGAGCACAAGTTTGACTCTTCAGCGCATCACTCTTCCAAAGTGCGTATCCATTTTGCTCCTTTTCGGCGAGTGAGACGCTGCCATCAAACTTGCGCCGGGGCACGGCGCCTCCACTGTCGCTGCTCTGCTGGCCCCCTCCACGACCATCTTACCGTAGGGGGTTTCCTTTTGCGTCATTTTGCTCGACAGGTCGAATTTGGTGGTGGTGGTTGTCGGCATCTCCGTGACGGTGGCGTACGCCACCTGCGTGGAGCAGTCGGGCCCCCCAAAGCCCGGGTTGCAGTAGCATCGGTTGGCGTTCGTGCACACCTGCGGAGAAAGCCGAGGAAGCCGTCAACACGCGCCGCCACGCCGTCAGCACAGTAACACAGAAGAGGGGAAACGTCTCGTGGGTTGCCCCGGGCCAGTGTCCTGGGCCAGTGCCCTGGGCCATCACCCTGGGCCATCACCCTGGGCCAGTGCCCTGGGCCGAGGACACATACCCCGTTGCCGGAGCACTCCTGGTTGCCGTGGTTGCTAGGACAGTTGTCCTTGTCGATGTGCGGGTAGATGCTGGTGCAGGTTTGGTTCAGGCAGATCTAGACAAACAAAAAGTCGTTAGCCGAGCTGTCCGGCACACTGCACCGGCAGTGTCCGGGAGGGCGGAGGCCGGAGGGCGACGGGGGGCCGGGCTGGGAGGGACCGGCCTGGCCCGGCCGTACTCACGAAGTTCTCCCCGCACGGCGTGCCGTCCTTGACGAGCCCCTTGGTGTCGTGCAGCGCCCTGTGAAGACAGGGAACGGAACGGGTGAGTCGGCGGGTAACTCGTTTAGGCGGATGGCCAACTAGGAACTGGGGGACTGCAGGACTCACTTGCACTGGGTCTCGCGGCCCTTGATGGTGGTCTGGATGTTGGAGTGCTCCGAGTCGTCGCCAATGGGCTTGGTGTTGCCGCCAGAGCACTGCAGCGACCCGCACATGACGTGGCTGCAACAGGACAACGTCGTCACCGTCCGAGTACACAAAGGGTTTTCCGTTTTTTAAGGACCGGTGGCAAAGACAAAGGCATTCCCAACCTCCTGTCGCACGGCTTGAGCTGGCCGTCCTTGGCCTGGCCGCAGTGCCCGTTCTCCGTGCCCTTCACGTTGAAGTGCTCGTAGCACTCGTTGTCGCTCGCGCGGCTCTCTGCGGGCAAACACAAATTAAAGACGCCTCCAAAACAATCTCTTTTGCCCTCACTGAAATATTTTTCGTAGTCATGTGTATGTGTTTTCGTAAACAATGCACATGTATAGGAACTATAGCCATACAGTTGTATGAGTTAAGTTATGAATGCTCTAGCGGTGTACGCACCCTGCCCCCAGATCCGCTGGCACTGCATGTCGCGGACGGGGCACGTCCCGTTGAAGCAGAAGCTGCCCGTCGGGTAGCCCTCGCCGCACGGCGTGCCGTTCTTCTTGAACAGGTTCGTGGGGCAGATGTTGAACTCGCCCGAGCAGTACTCCGGCAGGTCGCACTCGCCGCCCGACTCGCGGCACATGTGTTCCGGGCCCCGAAGCTGCAGGGCCGGCAACAACAAAAACATGCATGACCACCACGGAAAAACAACAAGTGGCTGTTAGTGCCGACGATGTGACTCACGGTGCACTCGGGCGTGCAGCACGGCCCCCGCGCGCACTCGGCGTTGGCGGCGAACTTGCAGGTGATGGAGTCACAGCAGGAGTCCTCCTTGCACTCGTCCACCGTGCCGCAGTCGCAGTCCTCGCCCGTCTCCACGATCTTGTTGCCGCAGGTGCCGCCGGTCGCGGGGATCTAGACACACAAGCCCGTCAGTCAAGTCCGCCCAGTCTGACGGTGTCTTCCTTCCGGTGGGGCTCGGCGCGTACCTCGTTGGGCTTGTTGAGCAGGCACATGGCCTCGCCGACGCGCAGCACGTCCATGTACTCGTTGAAGGAGCACTCCGAGAACTTGTAGGGCAGCACGTGGTTCTGGCCGATGATGGACTGCGCCATGATGCAGCCGTGCCAGTCCTTGCAGAAGCACTCCTCGCCTGGAGACAGACAGAAAAGGGGGGCGTAAGAGCGCCGCTTGCCGCCAGCCGGCCTAGCGCCTGCAGTCCGCGGGGTAGGCCGGCCCGCCGAGCAGCCGCGCGCCGCGGGACAGCATCCCGCCGTCCGCGGGCGCTTGGCGCTCCGCCTGGCGCGGTACTCACGGGCGTCGTCGTGCAGCATGCCGATGTTGTGGCCGATCATGTGCGCTACGATGCCGCCCAGCTGGTGGGGCTCGTACACGTTCATCTCCACGGCGATGCCCACGGCCTTGACGGAGCACAGCGTGTGCGGCACCGCCATGCCCATCTGGCCGCCGGGGAACTCCACACCACTGCAAGGAAACCAGACACTCGTCAGGGCGACCGCGGCGGAGTGGCACTGGCGGAAGCCAGCGGCGCCTCCACGTACCTGAGCAGCTGCGTGGTGTCCTTGCTGATGCCGAAGAGGGTCCTGCTCGTGTACTCGTGGAAGTTGCGCAGCGTCTTGCCGATGTCGGACGCCTCGATTGTGGCCTGGTTCTCCTCCTTCCACGTCTCGACGTACACCACCGACACCCGGGTGTTGAGTGTCCGGAAGTACTGGAACGGGATAGAAAACAAGTCATGAGACGACTGGACAGTGTTTCTTTTTTGCTTTCGACCAGAGCGTTACTGTTGTTTTCCAATTTACCAGGTCGGCGATGTTGGCGATCTGCAGGGCGTCGTGGACGATGTCCTCCCGGGTGTAGCCGGTCCGCCGGCTGAACTGTAGACGCAAAGTACAAGAATTAGCCTCTGAAACGACCGCCGTCCAGACGAGCAGAAGTGAGCCGTACCTTGGCGACCATGGACTTGTCCAGGACGAGGGCGAGCTCGATGAACTTGGTCATGCCCTGGATGTTCCTCTTGAGCCGCATTAGCTTCCGCTTGCGCTTCTTCTTGCTGTCCTTGCCCTTGGCCGCCTTGCCCTTCGCGGCCGGCTTCCTCTTGACGGCCTCCTCCTTGCCCTTCTTCTCCACGTCCTCGGCCTCCGCGTCCTCGTCACCCTCGTCGTCGTCCTCGTCGCCGTCGTCCACGTCGTCGTCCTTGTCGATCTCGACGAAGCCCTTGAAGAGGTCGCGGTTCACGTTGTCCGGCAGCACCATGTCGTCCAGCAGCGTGTCGAAGGCCATGCGCTTGTTGGAGACGCCGCGCTGCCGGCGCGCGCGGCCCCGGCCGCCGTAGTCCACCTCCAGCCCGTTGGCGCAGCCGTGCTTGCCGCCGCGGTCGTGCGCCGCGAAGATGACGTGCGGGTGGTTTTGCTGCGGACAGAAAAGGACTGGGTTCAAATCTCGCCACCGCTTTCCGTTTTATTATCCGCGAGGAGGGATGTGTTTATGGCCCGAGCTCCATACACCCAATACACACGGGAGGAAAGCCACCATCAATCTTGCCCCTTGTCATTGCCTCGTTTAGTGGCCGTTTACCGCGCGTTTTGATTTTCTCTCCGCGGTGTGTGTGTGAGAGTGAGTGAGTGCGCGCATGTGCGTAAGTGTGAGTGAGTGAGAGAGCGCGCGACGGGGTTGGGACGGCCGCCGCAATTTACGTCAATAGCTGACTTCCTTTTTTAGGAGCTTGTTTACGAGCGTTTTACAACTCCGCGATAGAGACTGGAGCGGGGCGGGTCCAGGTGGAGGGCCTGGCCATGGCCTAGCGGCCGTGCAAGGCATGGAAGGAAGCACACGGACTCCCTGGCGGCCAGCCAGCCTCCCCGAGGAGGAGGAGGAGGAGGAGGAGGAGGAGGAACGGGGTGTCCCAGGGCTCGTCGGCCTCCGCCAACCCGCCCCCGCGCGGACAGGTCCGGCCAGGTCCGGCACCGACGTAATTTCATGAGCGTAATCGTCCCTTCCGTTCGCCAATTTATTCTCCCGTTCGAATTTACGCCCGCCGGTTCACTCTGCAGACTGATTCCGAGAGTCGTTTTCGTCGCTCTGTCTCTCTCGCAGCTATAGGGGACGCCCCATGAGTGCGAGAGAGACAGAGCGACGGACTCGGGCCGCGCGCCGCGCACACACAGGCTGGCGCTGCTGACCCGAGCGCGCAGCGCGCCGCCCCGACCACCGACTATTAGGACGGCCTTTCCCGATTCGGCTATTAAAAGCTCGTAGAGTGCGGCTCGCCACGGCCGGCCCCTCTCCCTCGGCACTGCGCCCACTCGGCCGGCCGCGCGGCGGGGCGCGGCGGGGCGCGGCGGGGCGACTAGGCTGGCGCGATAAAAAGCCGAGGACGGCCTCATGCAGGGCCGCGGTGTAATCTGGGGCCGCAAACGGCACAACAGCGGTGAGGCTGCCTGCCTGCCTGCCTGACAGAGTTGAAGATTGGAGGCGGGGGCTCAATCTGAATAGGGAAGATGTTATTGGAATGTGCCGCCGTGCCGTACGGACGGAAGGAGCTCGTTCTTGTCCCCGCCCCGCCCCGCCCCGCCCCGCCTTATCGCGAGCCTCCCCGACAATATAGGCTTTGTGGTGCGTCCCGTCCCGGGCGTCCCGGGCCTGCCGGCGACATCTTGCGGCCTGTATTTCGCAAACCGTTGGACGGTATTTTCGTCTCTTGGCGCTTGGCGCTCTTGGCGCGGCCACAGCGCGGCAGCATGGTGTGTCCCCCATCCCTCCCTCCCTCGCCGTTTGTATAGAGTGTGTCAGACGGAAAAAGGGGATTTCATTTTTCGGAATCATTTGCGGAATCATTCATTCGTGCGGTCTCTGCAGCTCGTCGGCGCGCTGCGAGCTTACACTGCGAGAAATGGGCACTCCCCGCTAGCGTCGCCAGTTTCGCCTGGCATATTATCTCGTGACTTGTTACTGTTGGACATGGACGATATGGACTGTGAGACACAAGCAATTTGTTACTTCTCGTAACGTTGTTTTTTATTTTAAAGTTGGCAGAGTGACGGCCCAACAACGCTTCTGTCCATGGTTCAAACACTCATTTCGGTTCTGCTTTTTTTAAGTTCAAGTGTGGCTCCTAAACTTTTCTCTCAGTGTAATGCCAGCTTACTTCCGCGCTGGCGTGCCCGCGGGATGCGACAGGTTGGCAGACATGCGAGGTGGAGGGGGTAAAAACGGTTCCTGGCGAAGGCGCGCGGGGGGGGGGCGACGTAGCGAACGGGCAGTGCGGGGATGAGGCTTATGAGAAAGTGCACAGAGATTCAACGGAGAATTACGGGGTTAATCCGATTTTAATTGCGAGGGCAAGCAAAAGGGGAGAGAGGGGGGATGCGAACCGAACGGAATCGGAGTGGCGGGGAGATTGAGGGCTGGCAGGGAGGGGGCGGGGCCCAGCGGGTCCGCGATGTGGGACACGAATCCTTTAAAACGGAAAAAAATAAGCGAGCCTATTGTTTGCGGCCGCGGCTGGCGGGGCACAGTGGGCCAGAAGCCGGTGGAGGCGGCCAAAACTCTAGACGCGTTTTGAGCTCCAGAGTCACTAAATGGGACTCGAACCGAACGTGTGACCCCACCCAATGGATTCCTCGATCGGAGAGCAATCCATTGGTGGGGTCACACGTTCGGTTCGAGTCCGAATTAGCGACTCCGGAGCTCAAAACGTGTCTAGAGTTTTGGCCGCCTCCACCGACTTCTGGCCCACTGTGCGGGGCGGCAGCGGGTCGCGTTGCCCGATTGTCGCGTCGAACCCCCCGGCCGTGCCGCGCCTTGGGCCCCGCGCGATGATGGAGATGATGGAGATGCGGATCGTCATGGAGCAGGCGGGCCAGGCGAGCCAGACGGGGCGGCCCCGGACGGCCCCGGACGGCCCCCGAGCAGCGGGCCGAGGAATGCGGGGAATGCGTCGCCCGTGACGAGATTGGCGTCGCGCCCAGTCGCGCCAGGCGGGCAGAGTTAGCAGCGCCACTTTCATGATGCGACGATCGCAATAACAACGTCATTCCGACGACGCGGCGCGGCGGCGCGGCCAGCACACTGCAGCGCGGCGCCTAAAGACGCTGAGGACGGCCGAGGTGCGCAGCCGCCGCGCAGCGAACGGACAAAATAGGAAAATAATAATAAAAAAAAGAACGCCAACGGCGAAAGAGGGCGGGAGGGAAAAAAAAGTGGCCGGGCGATTAAAACGGGGAACCCAGAGAGCATGAAACAAGCAGCATAAAGAACGAAGGGGCGACACATACGCGACAGACGACAGCAAAAGAAAAAATAAAATAAAAATAATAATTTGAAAAAAATATTAATAAGGACACGTGGACCCAAAGGGCGAACGGGAAAAGGGAAAATTCATTCGGTCGCGCAATTGCGGCCTCGTTCCTCGTTCGTGATAGGGCGATGGGAAAAAGATGGCGGACTAACAGCGGCCGAGCGCCTGCACTGCCTGAAAGACCTGACACACGCGCGCGCGCGCACACACACACGCGCACACACACACACGGCTCTTGGCGCCGGTTCCAGCCCCACAAACACCACCACGTGTCGAAACCAGGCAAATTTTCAGCTAACGACGCGTGTCCCCCCCCCCCTTTCCCCCTTCCCCTCCTCCTCTCCCAGTGGTCAGCAGACTAGAATCACTGTGTTGCAGCGGACGCAAGCGGACGGCCCCCGGAGCCCCAGCCGGCCCCGCCCTGTTCCGGTTCCGGCCCGTGGGACTCGTCAGTGTGGGGCGAGCACAATCACTCGCTCTGGAATAGGGGCAGCCGCCCCGCCCCGCCCCGCCCCGCCCCGCCCCGCTCCGCCCCGCCCCGCCCCGCCCCGCCCCGCCTGGAGGGCGTCCCCACCCCACCCCATCCCCCGCAGCGCCCTGCCTGGGCCTAATGAAGCCACTCCACTGCGTTCTGCCTGCCTCGGCCTGCCCCGCCCTGCCCCGGCCTGCCCCCCCAGTCCAACAAGGTGTGGAGGGCACGTCGACGTCACACACGCTGGTGATGATGACAAAAGGAGCGTCGGCGCGCCGCCCGTCCGCGCCCGTCACTCCGAGAGGCGACGGCCTGCCGTGCTGGCGTGTGTACGTACCGAGAGGTCGCCGCCGTACAGCGGGTGCACGACGAAGGTCTCGTTGCCCAGATGGATGACGCCGCTGAGGCCGCTGCAGGTCCGGAAGGCCCCGACGGCGCCGGGGATGCCACGCACCTCGCCCTGGTAGTAGCAGTGCTCGATCTCCTGCAACGACAACGAGAGCACCGCCGTGAGAGGCTGCCAATGCTTCCGGGGACGGCGATGGAGGGCGGCAAGGCACCACGGCCACGCCACACGTCTCGGCGACAATGCCACCGCCCAACTTACGCCGCCCAGCGCCACGATGCCTACACTGTGGAAGGCAAGCAAGAGGAAAACAATTCTAAAAAGAAATGAAAAAAAAAAGTTTAGCGTGGTATTTGAACCCGCGACAGTTTCCAGGCCGAGCTTATTAACGACGAGCCGTTTAAACGGTCCGAACGGGCGGCCAATAACGCGAGCGCCACTTTGCAGCCTTGAGGCGGCACGCATGCACGCACACACGCAGACACACACACACGCACGCACGCGCCGATATCGAGCGCTGTACGCTGTACCGGAAACGCCGGCCGGAGGGCCGGAGTGTCCCCGACGTCTCCGACGAGGGCGCGGCGTGGCGCGGACGGACGGGCGGCGCTGGCGGTGACGAGAAAACTTTGCCAACTGTGCTTCGGGCGCCGCGCCGCGCCACACGCCACCCCCGCGAGGCGGAGGGCGCGAAGCGATGCGTCCCGCCCCTCTTTCAGTCTTTCAGTCTTCCAGTGCACCGTCAAAGCGGCGGCTGAATCGCGGACTTCATCAGCGGCCAGTCCGCTCGCCACCCGCGCCCTGCCGCGCCCTCCTTGCGCCGGCCGACGGGCCGACGGGCCGACGATGAGTACTTTGTCACCGCCACCGCGGAACAATGTCCCCGCTGTCAACAACAAGCCGTTATTTTTGCAGTGTCGCGCCCCAAATCCCTGGACCCACGTCGCCTTGCCGCCCCGCCCCGCCCCGCCCCGCCCCGCCCCGCCCCGCCCCGCCCCGCCCCGCGCTGCGGCGACGTCGTGCTGTGTTACCGCTGACAATAGCGCGCGGGGTGTTTTGTGTAAACAGGCGGCATTAGTTTGTGACTCAGGCACAAAGCGCCACGCCGGGCGGCGGGGAGGGGCGGGGCGGCGGCAGGGCGGCAGGGCGGCGCGCCACCGCCTCCTTCTCACGATGTGCCCCCCGCGATGTGCCCGCCGAGGCCCTGCCGCCCCGAAGACCCCCATCGCCGCCCTTGCGCAGCCCACACTGTGCGCGCTGAGAACCAACATCTCAGGCCGGCTGGCGGCCTTAGCAAACGGCCAGCCCGGCGAGCTGCCTGAGACACCCCCTCTCCTTTGGCAGCCAGGGGCAGCCAGGTGCCGTCTGAGTGGCAATCAAGTCCGACTGCAATGACTGCAGAGGGTGGCCGCTGCGGAAAACACTGCAGCCCACACACCTACCCAGCCACCGGTCTCCTCGTCGCGGTCGCCGTCCTCCTCGTCATCGTCAGCGTCCCCCACCCCCTGTTTTCTCCGATCCACGCGAGAAGATTGCTGCTAATGGCGTTTAAATTTGGCCGCGCGTTGTTTGGTTTGGCCGCGGCGGCGTGGCCCCCTGCCTCAGGCTGCTCTGTCCGCTCTGCCCCAGCCGGCGGGGCGGTGGCGGCGGCGGCGCGCTGTCACGGCCAGCCAAGGCAGGCGGCGGGAACGCCCCGCCCCGCCCCGCCCCGCCCCGCCCCGCCCCGCCCCCGCCGGCCTGAGGGCCCCCGGCCAGGCCATACCCCGGGACCACGCCGAGCACCGCCACTGGCTTTACAGTAATTTACCATCGTGCCCGGCCAACACAATGCGTGGCGAGCGCCGCAAGAAACTGAGTGGGCTCCGCCTCGCCCCGCCCGCCACGCCGCCACGCCGCGGCCACCGGCCAGTACTATGCAAAATTAGCACATGCAAAGTACGGAGAAAAAACGGGCACCTAACAAAAGACCGCTTTTCCACCATTATGTTGTAGCGTATTCCTGAGCGGCACCCGTGCAACCAGTCGAAAGCTCTGCACAGCGCGCACACTCGATCCGCCGGCAGGCCGAGTCCGAACAGCGCTCCGGTCGCTTTGTCTCTCTCGCGCTCGTGTGAGCGTGCGAGAGGGACAGAGCGACCGAAGAAGCACTGTTCGGACTCAGCCTGCCGGACACCATAAATAATTCACGCGCGCTCCTTGGGCGCCGCCATACACAGTCTGACGCCTCCATCCATCAGTGGCGGTGCTGGCGCCCTCTGCGGCCGGAAGGAGAACACACAGGGGTGCGCGGTGGCGTCGCGGTGGCGTCGCGGTGGCGTCGCGGTGACGTCAAGCTGGCCGTCGTGTCGTCGGCCGGGCCGTCGCCATGCCCTCCAAAGCACCCCGATGGACGCCCTCGCCGACGTCGCCGTCCTGGCGACAGTGTAGGTCGCCGGCAGGCGCGCAGCGAGTCGCAGCCAGGTGCCCAGGCGTCGCGACGCCGCCGCCGCAAAGGACGTCGCCGGCGAGGAGGGTCCGGGGCGTTCCGGGGGGCGCGTGGATCGATGCTTACCTGTTTGGTCGTTTGTTCCGCGCCGTTTGGAAGGAAGTGCTTTTGGATGAGGTTGGGCGCCAGCAGTTGCCTGGAACAAGGGAGACACTCCGTTAGAACCGTGGTCTAGTCTGGTCTGTACCGTGCCCTGCCACCCCGCCGCCGGGCCGGGCCGCGTATATCAAATTCCACTGGAACCGCGCGCGGCGGGGTGCTGGCTGGCGGGGAGCCCGGCAGTTCGTAAGTACTACTAGTACCCTGCACGGTTCAGCACGACCGGGCCGCCGCCATGTCGGAACACTGGCAATTTCGGGGTCACTTAGAGGGCCAAACAAGGCGGGGGCGGCGCGAGGCTGGGCGAGCGTTTCCACAAAGCGCGGAGCCAAGGCAGCCAAGGGCGAGAGGCTGGAGAAGGCCGGCAAGGCGGCAAGGCCGGGGAAGGCCACCCGGAATAAACAGGTCCAGACCTCGCTCGTCGCAGTGGCGGGGGCGGCGCGGGGGCGGCGCGGAGGCGGCGCGGGGGCCGCGCGGTGGCCCCATTTTAACGCCTCGTCGGCAGCCTTGGGGACGGCCTGGAATGGGCACGGCGGGGCCGGCGGGGCGAGGCACCTGCCCGCGGGCACGGCGGCACGGCGGCACGACGGCGGCAGGGCACCACAATCTGGAGGGGCCGTCAACTACCCCCTCCGTGGCCCCGCGGCCCCGCGGCCCTGCGGCCTCTCCCCGCCGGATATTGGGTGGCTTCCGCGGCACTATCAGCCGCGAATATATGGCGCGTCGATACTTATTTGCACGGCGCCTCGCCCCACGGCCCCACGGCCAGCCAGCGGCAGCGCCGCACGGATGGTTCAATCCCGGGATCGTTAAGTGGGGACCGGCGCGTTGACAACAACAACAACCACCACCAAAAAATGGGAGCAAGCTGGCGGCTGGCGCGGAGTTTCCGCCCAGATACAAGGTCAGTGGTTTGTCCCCACGACCTGCCCGCTAGGCGCCGCTAGGCCGTTAGGGCCCCAAAACTTTCCTGTGATTCCATTTTGGGGCCACCACTGGCGGGGGCCGCCCGCCTGGTGGGCAACAAGGCCTAATTGGGGTGGCAGGGACTCCACTTGGGGGCCCTGGTGGGCCTGGTGGCCCCACGCCGAGGCACGCCCGTTGACATGGGACCGGCGGACATTCGCTCGGGAATTGCAAAGCCATTAAAATGGACGAAATAAGGAGAAAATTTGGCCGGCCGGCCGTTGGCCGGGCAGGCAAACAGCAGCAGGGCCGACCCCACTCGGGCCCCAGGAGGGTGGGTGAGCTGGGGGGAAAAGGAGGGGGGGGGGGAGCAGGGCAGAGTGGAGCCCAAACGAGGTGGTTGGGGATTACACCTGATTCCCTGTTCGGTCCATTGCTCGCCGATATTGCTCCCGCCGGCTGTCCGACCCTAGCTCTCACTCTCTCACCCTCTCACTCCAATCCCCCGGCCATGCCCCGGCCATCTCGACTCGACTTGCCCGCCAGCCCCGCCAGCATGGCGTCGCTACCACTGTACTGTACTCTGGCCGGGACGGGGGCCCTGGGTCGCAGCTGGAACGGACAACGTGTGCAGTCCGAGGGCGGAAGGCTTCGGCCTTGGGCTTCGAAGCCCCGCGGTCTCCGCCAACAAGCTGGGCACCAGCAGGTACCAGTGGCTCCACTCCAAACACTCCAGAGTCCACCAACCCTTCGGGGCGGGGGTGAGCGACCAGAAGGACCAGAAGGACCAGAAGCGACCGGCGGGGCCGCGGGGCGGCGGGCTGGTCCCATTCTGGAGGCCACCCCGCCGCAGCCGAACACCGCCGACACAGCCCGCAGCAAGCGATGACCCCCACGCGATCCGCGTCGCTGCAAGTCGCTGCGATGCCCCGACAAGGGCTTGTGTGGCCCGGGCGATGTGATACCGCATGATTAGCGGTCCCCGCGAAGCGCCGCTGCGAGGGCAGGCGAGGTCCCGGCGGCAGCGGCGGCGCGGCAGAGCGGCAGAGCCAACTCGAACCAAGAAAGTTGCGCTTTCCGCCCGCTGACGGCGCTGACGGCGCTCACGGCGCTGACGGCGCTCACGGCGCAGCTCTCGGCTCCGCGCGGCCGACCGAGAGAAAAAACACAAAAAATAGAAAAAGAAGACGACGCGGTGGTCAGGAAGCCAGCGGACCAAAACTCCCGCGCCCCGGCCGGGCCAGCCGGCCCCGCCCCTCTTCGCGAAGCCTGCTGCGAGTGCTGGGCCCTCTCCACATTCGACCCCCCTTTTGTTATCAAAGACAGAAACGCTTCCGCCCTAAATTTTAGTTTAATGGGCTATAAAGGGTGGTACGGGGTGGTACGGGGTGGTACACTCGTAATTCCTCGCCTTCCTTCACCGCCACGGCGCCGCACGGCCTCCACGCCAACCCCTTCGCTGCCGTCGCTCTTCGCCGCGGTCCAGCGCCTCGGCCTCCACGGCCTCCACGGCCTCCCCGACGGGGCGCGCAGTGCGTCACCCCCAGGACCTCAAGGTGAGGTCACTCAGCGGCGCCCTCCGCGGCCACGCGGTCCTCTGTGTGTGTGTGTGTGTGTGTGTGTGTGTGTGTGTGTGTGTGTGTGCGTGTAGGTGCGCGCGGGGACAAGGCCGGTCCAGACACCCGGCTGGCCGCTCGGCTGGCCGGCTGATTGCGCCGTAAAGCCAAAGCGTTTCAAAGATTTTAACGCGTTTCCCCGAGATACGGGAGTTAACGCAGCCGTAAAGGCGACCCGGCGCCGGGCCTCTCTCTCTCTCTCTCTCTCTCTCTCTCTCTCTCTCTCTCTCTCTCTCTCTCTCTCTCTCTCTCTCTCTCTCTCTCTCTCGTTCTATCTGGCGCTCGAGCGGCAAATCCCTAGACCCGTCGCCGTCGCCCCGCCACCGCGACGCGGCATCACCCGAAACGTGGCGGGTTGTTAGTGTTTGAATTACGCAATGAAATGAGGTACGCGAGTACCCGGGGGAGCGGAAACGGGGGGGGGGGGGGCGTTTGCACAGAGCGGGGCTTCGGGTAATGGCGTGCCTGCCCCGCCCCGCCGCGCCCCGCCAGTGCCGCGATCAAAGCAAACTGCCAAACACGTTATTTCTCTCCACTTGGAACGTCGACGGAGTGGAGTGTACACGCGTGTACCCCCCGCGGCTTGTTACGGTACCAGCACACAACTGCACACACAAACACACAACTACACGCACGCAACACAAAGGCATAGTCCATAAGCGCCCACGTGCGTACGCCCCCTTTCTCTCTCGACCCTCCCCACCTCTCTCTCTCTGTTTTTTTTTTCGGTAACGGCCGACCCCAAATTATTTGCTCTCGTGTCGCACGCCGCGGTCGCTAATGCAAACCTAATGCCGTTTTGTATGCATATAAACCGAGCAGCAGCAGGCCAGTGCTGCACACACACACACACACACACACACACACACACACAAACACACAAATACAGAGACACGCTCTCTCTCTCCCTCCCTCCCCCTCCCTCTCTTTCTCTCACACGCACCAGGGCAGTTGCAGGGCCAGCGCGCATTCAATGACTGAAGTGATCAAGAAAAAATTAGGGCAGGGGGCGGATTCGAACCGGCCGACCGCGCGCGGGAGGCAGCCGCGCCAGCCACAATGCTAATGAGAGAGCAGTGGGCAGAACGGCTTTTGAAGTAAGCAGGGCGCCCCGCCCCACCCCGCGGCGAGGTTAACCTTCTTGCGGGACCAGGGCCGACTCGGAAGGCGGCGCGCCTAATCAGCGGGCACACAATGCCTCTGAAAATAGCCAAAGATGCAGCACCAACCTTTGACCACTGCCAAAAAAGGAAACAAAAATTAGCAAAAAATGAATAAACAGAAAAGGAAGAGGAAGGGAAAATCATGGGCAGTAATTCTGCGCTCGCGGTCTTTGTGGAGTGAAAGTGGTCGCAGTGAACCCTTTAACCCTTTCCGCGGGCCCGCCCCGCCCGGTCCGGCCCATTTTCATTTTGCCCCCGTATCATCTCCATCAAGCCAGCCCAGCCCATCCTCGCCGCTCTAGCCTCGCAGCGAGCTCATTTGCCTCAAAAAGCCACGCCAACTGCGCACTTGTATCAGTCCGAAAAAAACAGCAAAAAGAAAGGGACAACGCACACAAACAAACCAAAACCCGCCCCCCCCCAAAAAAATAGAAACATAGCTTCCACTTGAATGCGACTCGATCCGTGCAAGCGGCGGGCCTCTGAAAATGCATCCGTCCGCCTGCATCCCGGTAATGCACACACTCGGCCTTCGTGGCCTTCATGGCGTGCACGGCCTCCACGGCGAGGCCGCCCCAGGGCCATAAAAACGTCCACGCGTTAGTCTCCAAAAAGAGGAGGGGCCGGCCGCGCGCACCGGGGGGCTGGTCGAGCTGGTCCAGCCCAGAGTGCTTACAAAAGCGTGCACACCGCCTGGTTACGCCCAGCGGGCGGGGCGGGGCGGGGCGCGGCGGGGCGGGGGGCATCCATAACTTACGAGCCCGACTCATATTTACACCCCGCCGGGGCGTGCAGCGCGGGGCCGGGCGAACAGCGCCGCCGTGTGTGCGGACTGCACCTCGGCCTTGTTTCTTTGCGCACTTCTTCACCTTCCCCGCATTGAGGGGGGCGCTCGCTGCCGCGACGGCGCCAACGGCCGCGATGACGCGCGCAGGCGGGGAAATGAACCACACCGTAAAGACAGGCGGTAAAAATTTGGAGAACCTGTTGCCATTGGCCGGGCGGTCGGCGTGCCGCGGCGGCGGTGAGACTCGCGGGACGCACTGCGTCCGACACGGCGGTGTGGCCCTGGGCGCGGCCCCGCCACCCCATCCCGCCCCGGGCCACCGGGCCACCCAGTCCCAGGGCGACTTTGCCGCCTCGCACCGACGACTCTTTCATGCGCAACTAAGTTAAGCCAGCATAAAGGAGCCATTGTTGTTCTGTTTGTCCTCACTACTGGGGCGCGGCGGGGCGGGGCGCGGCGCGGCGCGCCAAACACGAAGCTCCGCACCCTGCTCTCCATGCCGCTTGGTGCGCTTCGGCGCGGCGGTCGCCCCGTCGGTGTTGGCGCTGTCGCCGAGGTGTAGCGGTGTACGCACCAGATGCCGCCGTAAACGGAGGTGACAAGTTCGCCAGGACGCCGACGGCGTTCGCCGCCACAATGGCGGCCTGCTTGGAGTGGGGCGGGAGATACGACTCGTGTGTGGGCGGATCCCCCCCGACCCGCGCCGAGCCCCGGACCCGCCTTCCGGGTGTTCCGCAGGTGATTCGGTTTAGTGTGTAGCGGCACTGTAGTCGGCGACCCACCGACACCCCCTGCTGCACCTCCGTACGCCACACTGGCAAAAGCGTAGTTGTACACTTCATACAAGCGTCCCACTACGCTTCAAGACTTTCCGCTCCCTTGCATTTAGATGGGGTGGATCGGAGCACTACACTCGAAGTCAAGCGTGGCAGCCACCACGCTGGAAGAAAGGCGCGAAAGTGGCGCTACAGTTCTGCCAGTGCACTGTGGGGGATTGGCAGGCAATGCGGCGCCGCTACGCGCCGCGACGCGCCGCCACGCCGAGACCGCCACCTTTGAAATGTAAAGAGGGGCGGCACTTTTCGATTCGCCCGCTCGTTTTCCATCGGGCGTAATAAACGAGTCCGGTACAGCCGAGGCAGGCGAAGCAGGCGAAGCAGGCTGCTCAGCGGCACGACGATAAAGTCTATAAAATCCCCCACTCCGCTCCGGCCGAGCAGCCGAGCAGCCAAGCAGCCAAGCAGCCAAGCTCTGTGATGAGCCGCCGTCCTCTTTTACTTTGTGACTGGGCACCCGGGGGCGGGGGAGGGGGGGGGGGCGAGCTGGCGACATTATTATATTCGTAGAAAGAAAGAAGGAGTGACCTAGAGATGTGCTGCACTCGAGTGGTGCAGGGAGGCTGCCGCCACGGCGGCGGCGTCCCACACAGAGACAGCCAATGCCGTGGGACCCCCCCTCCCGAAAACTTGACACCACCAGAAAAGGGAGGAGGCGGGGACAAATTTCGCACTGGCGCGCCAAACTTGCTTTTTAAAAGTTTCACCATTAGGATCCGCGTTTTAGGGCGCGTGACAACGTCCTTGGGCGGAGACCGAGACGGGAGTGGGGGCGGCGGGGGCGGCGTGGGGGCTGACAGGCCGCGGGGATGGGGCCGATTGAAAGCACCTAGGAGGCGGTGTCGCGGAGGCTGTGGCCGTGGCGTGGCGCCATCCCGCCCCGGCCCGCCCCCGCCACGGAGCCGCTCTCGACACGTTCGGGCCGCTTGGCCGCGTTTTTACGCCCTGCAGTACCTCGGTCCTTGGCTTCGGCTTCGGCTTCGGCCCTCGGGGGCAAAATGGGGTTTCCTTTCCGGCCGTGATTACGCGATTACCGGCGGCAAGAAATTGCTTTACCGATGGCGGCGTGTGCGAACCGGGCACCGCGGTCTCTGGCCGCGTGTCCCCGAGAGCGCGGCCGAGGCCGAGGCCGAGGCCGCGAAGCCCCGCTGGCCTGGATGACTCCGCCATTCTAATCAGTGCACGCATGCATGAACGGCCGGCCGACCCCCCGCCTGATATTACAGCAGGGATGGGCGGCCAAGTCATACCATTTCCACCAGGTCTTCTCTTAAAAAAAAGAAAAAAACGGGGAAAAAGGAACGAGGAGAATGCCTGCAGAGCGAATGGCCGAATGGCCGGACCTTAAGCCTCTTTTTGTTGGTATGAAGCCACCGCGATGTCCTTCTCATGGGTGGGTGGTGGGCTCGTGGCCCACATTACGGCCCCACCCCAACGGCGTGGTGCAGGGTTCGAATCTCGGCTCCGCGACTTTTTTTTACTCTTTCGTGCAGTAGGGTGCCAAGGACACGGGGGTCCTCTTGCGCCAAGCCGGCCTGCAAAGGGTCACTCCAGCCAGGCAGGCAGGCAGGCAGGCAGGCAGGCAGGCAGCCAGGCAGGCAGCCAGGCAGGCAGCCAGGCAGGCAGCCGTCTCTCAAACCACACGACGTCACCCCGCCCCGGCGCCCCGCGACTTTTATGCCCGCCAGAGCTTTCCACTCCACCTTACATCTTGAGGGCGCGGCGGCGCACCAGTGTAGGGGACACGGGGGTCGGCTAGGGCCGGCGGGGGTCCGCGAGGTGAAAGGCGGATGGAAGTACTCTCATTTCATGAGGAGGGCGAGGACCGCCACGCCGAACAAGGGACGCACGGGGCGGGGCGGGGCGGGGCGGGGCGGGGCGGGGCGGGGCGGGGGGGGGCGGGGCGGGGCGGGGCGGGGTGGCGCAGATACCGCAACTTTGTTGTCACGACCGTCCCATTCCCGGCGTGTCCACGTCCTTGTTATACTGTGCTGCCCCCAGTCTTCTATTCGAGCCGCGTGTGAACCGACTGCTGAGCTCAGCTGCGCCCGCAAGCCCGCCCCGCGCCCCGCCGGCCAGCGCCTCACTCCACACCCTGCCTGCCAGCCCGGCTGGCCGCCTGACTGGCTGCCTTTGGCCTGCCTGCCTGCAGTTGCCGCGCGCGCCAAAGTTTTTAATCATTTGCGGCAACACAACAGGGACTTTGTGCTGCAGCACGCGTGTGCATCCGTGCGTGAGCGCGTGTGTGTGCGTGCGTGCTTCATTTCCCCGGCACACAGAGTGCCCGTGTCCGCTCAGAGGAAAAATAAAAAGGACAAACAGGGCGTCGTATTTGTTTAGCGCGACAGGCATTTGAACGCAAAAAAGGCGGCCTTCCTTTCCCGGAGCAGCGCCGCGCAGCGCCGCGACGGCCTGCCGGGCTTGACCCTTTTGTAGTGTGCTGGCCGAGGGTGCCGAGCGCGCCGACGGCAGTCCGCCCTCGTGCTTTGGCCCTCGCGCCCTGGAGGCCTTGAGGCCCTGCACGCCGCCGGCGAGGCGTAGGCGAGGCGGGGGGTCCATTCCTCCGTCCCTATACGCGCCTTTGATGTGCAGGCCGGCGGGATTACCCCGCGGCATCGGCCGCCTCGGCGATACTCACGTGTTGAGTTCCAGCAGCAGCTCGAAGTAGTGGTTCAGGATCTTGATGTACAGCGACGTCTTGGCGAAGTGGTTCCTCGACTG